TTAAAAAAAATATAATATCAATAGTTAACACTAGAAATATTTTACCATATTATTATTTTTTACATATTTAGGAAAAGGTACCAACAATTTAATTTTGAAAATATTTAAAACTTATCTTAAGAAAATTATATTAATCGTTGACGTTAATTTAATTTAAATGGTTTTTAAATAAATTATGTTTGAAAATATGTTAGGTATATATCGATGCATCAGGGTTTAAATACTAACGATACTGAATAAGTGAAATACAGTAATAATTTACTTTGTATTCGTGTGTTATTACATAGTATTCTAAAAACTTAATACATTTTTTTTGAAGTTACAAGGTATTGTTCAAAAATTTTTTTCAACTATCATGGTTAGTAAATAGTAATTCAAATAATTAAAATCATTCGTCTTTCTAATCAATGGATATTTCCATTGAAGAATACTAAAATATTGGCCGTGGAGGTGCTTAAATGTAAAAGTCACTGAAGCTTCGATTATTGACGAACACCGATCATATAGTGTAACTGTGTTCACCCTGCTTACAGATGACGGTCAGAAAAACTACACGGAAGTAGATTTGTCAAAAAATTTTGCTATTCCTATAGCTGAAAATATGAAGAAAACATTTATTGGATATTAACGGAAATCCGATTTTAGAAATAAATATGAAGACTTGATTCAATAAAAAAAACGTATTCACCATAATATAGATGGTATCTATTGAGATTTTGTTTACGAGAACCAATAGTTCAATGAAATAATCCGTAACTAAAAGGAGATAACTAAAAATGTTTTGACACGATTGCCATGGATTTATTGAGTGTTATATTTGACAAACACACTAAACTTACCAATAATCTATGTAATCTGACCCCATGATAACTTACGCGGAACGTATGTTTACCAGACATCTCTCAAACTCTGTGGTTGTCTCTAATTTATTAGCATAATAAACCATTCCCAAGACATTCGTCTAAAAAACCGTAAACACCGCTCTTTCGGGGTATCGTTATGCTAATAATTACTTACGATGAATGGGTGCTGAGAGTTACTAATCCAAGATTGTACGACTTATCTCCAAAAGTTCATCTATCCATAATACTTCAAAACTCCCATTACATAACTAAATCTTCGAGACTAGTTATTCTTAATCCTATTGACATAGGCGATTTTCACTAAAAACCAAAAAAAAATATACCACAAGTAAGTAAAATTATAAAATGATTTCTACCTAAAATATATTAATAATTTCTACCTTAAAGTAACTATACCTTAACTAACAGTAAAATAAAACTAAAATCATAACTACTTATGGATGATTACTATAAAATGTATAGTATTAGGTAACCTAACATAATGAAATATTATACTTTATTCTTTTCTTTATATAAATTGAATTGAAAATAAACTACACAATTTATAGTATTTATTTTTATTTTTCACTCGCTCTTTTTTAATTATATTATTGTTTCATTATTTTTTAGTTGGAAAAATATATTTTTAATAATCTATAAGGTATAATTTTTGTAAACGCATGTAGTGTATGTCCAAAAATTAGATAAATTGTCATCGGATATAAAATAGAAATAGAAATTATACGAAATTTTCCAAATAATTCATATTTATTCACATTTATTTAAAAAACAAGATAACTCGTTTATTTTTTATTATCATAGAGCATTTTTTTTTTTCTTATACGAATCATCTTTATTTTGTAAAATAATTTACTTATTTTTTTTTTTTTTTTTTTTTTATTGAAATAAGCCTCGGCAGCTATGGCCATTGGCAACAAAGTTACTTATTTAATATTGAAGTAAAAATGTATTATTGATTTCAATAATTATGTTTATTATCATATTGCCATTGTCTATTTTAAGATGTATTAAAGTTGATACATATTATAAATTAATTTAAAAAAGCATTTTGCCAATATTCTACAAAATGTTTTATAAAAAAATTAAGAACAAATTAAAGATGTACCAAAGAATGTGATGATAAGAAAATGATTTCTTCAACAAGATATTCTTCGTAAGATTTAATAAACGATTTTGTATACGTTTTATTGTTATTTATTTAAATTTACATTTTATATGGTGCATCCAAAATAAAACTATTTATTTGTCATAGAGATACATTACCCGGAATTTATGAAACTGTGACGACGGCATTCCTGTACTCGGATTTAGTTTGTTTTTTGACCAGCCAAAAAATATAGTTAAGTTCGTTAAATGTTGAAATAGCAAATATGGACCTGTTCGCAATCAACAAAGAAACATTGTTAAGTAACATCTTAAACCTCATTAATTATAAATATAAAACTATTCTTTAATTTTAATATGAAATTGGACGTAGGTATTTTTTATTTTTTTGACTTATTTTTGTTATAGATTCTTTAGGTAATTCAGGTATTCTAAACAAATTTTAAATTCTAAGAAGAGTGATGAATGATGATAGATTGATTTTACAATGATGTGTGTGGTTTTTTTATGTATATGTACACTAGAAGTAGTCAATAACATGCTTTGATTTTAAAATTTAAATATAAGTTTGAATAGCAAATTGGATATAATTTGTACCTACTTTAGAGAGGTCAAAATAATTGTTGGGGAACAAAAATTTTAAATAATATCTATTTTGGCTGGATTGATCATGTTGTATCTTTAGCCAGTGATTGCTCATAAATCATTCGAGCAACACCTCTCATACACAGGATTCTGCAAGCGACAACTAGACTTGAATTTTCAAAGGCTAAACTTGCAAAGTTATTTTTTTATTTGTTCCATCTTATTTTATCTGACAAGCATAATACACTGCTACACTGCTTACACTACTGTAAATCAAGTAAATTACATGATCATAATATATAGGTATACTTAATATTATCATTATACTTTATAGATTAAATTTTTATTACGGTGTACTTGATAAAATTCTCGTCTACACTACTTTGAAAGCCCTTCGAAAATCAGGAGGAAGGTATTAAGGTAATATTGGTACCTGGTATGTGATTTTATGTTTTAACACTTATAAGTGTTGGGGAGTATCTTCTAGATCCAGGCCCTATCTTAGTTTTCTTTTAATCTTCATTATCCCTACCTATATTATAAATCTTTTATTTTTCACATTATTACATTATACCTACTATATTATATATTAAACTAAGAAAATAATAATTATAAGGTCGGTACATAGGTACCTATTTATTTATTTTCACAAATACAATATTTTATATGTTTGATTTTAATATATGTATACACAATACACTATAGGTAGGTATACAATTTATTATACTTTATTACTTTATGTAAAGCAATTTATTATTAAATTACTCATAACAACAAGTTATAAATCATACTACAAAGGAAAAATACTCATAAATTCATAATAATATAAAGATTATTTTTACATGGTTTAATGTTGTCTCGTTTGTACAAGTTACAACTATGTAACATGAAGTTTTAATCGTTAAATTGTGTACATAAGAAATAACAAACATTTATAATTTAAATATATAACATAAAATGTTAGCAATATGTCTCATTTCTCCCTTTTAAATTAAAACATTGTTATAAAATAAGATGTATCAACAAACGAGCTTGAATAATAATTTTAATTTTTAACTTTAAATCTGATTAAAAAAAAAAAAAAAAAAAAAAAACAGTAATAAAAACATAGAAAGTAGGTACATAATATATCGTCATACTTGCAATATAAAAATAATAAATACATAATAGAAACTTCCTTTAATTCATACAAATTTAAAAAGATAATTGAGTATATTTGAATGAAATCATAATAGGTGAGCGCTTGGGAACAGCAAAAGCGATAATATTATATGCTACCCCTGAACTTTTTTTCATTTTACTGCAAGCAGTTAAAATATTTAATTATGGAACTCAATAAATTTTATCTCCATAAAGTTTTGTTTACATAACATACATTAAACATTATTGTAAGAAACAATAATTATTGGTTACAGAATTACAACTATAAAAAACAAATCCAAATGTATATTTAACGGAAGCTGTAATTTTAAATTAGTAATCATTACTACAAAAAATAAAAATTTACATCACGATATTAATATTACGGTCAAAAATTAAAAAATAAATTTGGATTTAAAAAAAAGTTTTATTATTCAATAAAACTTTATCAAAACAATTTTAATTTTGATACCTACCTAAAATAAAAATGTAAAATTATTGAACTGTTTTCATGGAAAATTTAGAAAACAGGCCAGATTATCCTTATACTGATTAAAATGAAGCAACATACCCTAATGTAAGAAATTTAAGTCATACTTAAACAATTTAAAGTATGAATATTGAATACAACATATTATTAAATAATATACACGCTGGCTAAAGCATTATTTGCAATATAACAATTAATATTATGCATATTAAATACAAGTTAACAATAATATTATTATTTATAAATGATAATTTATGAATATCAATATACAAAATATATATTAAAAAACAATTCAAAATAAACATCAAAATTTTATTTCTCATTTAATTCACCGTGCTATGACCTCTAAAATATTAATTTACGTTTAGACACAATTTAATACCTGCATTATAAACATAGTAAAAAGTAAATATTTAATTAACACAATTAGACTAGGACAGGGGTCGGCAATTAAATTCTATGGAGGTCCAGAAAATCAAAAAAAAAATTCCGAGGGCCAGTAAAAACTAAAAACTCAGATATTAGTTAATAATTGTTGTGTTATCACAGCTATTATTGTAAATAGCAATAAATGATAAACACTATTATAAAATAGATAAAATATATATTATGTGTGGAAAACCAGCATTATTAAAAAAAAAAAATATTTTTTGTGGTCCAATTATTTTTCCTTTTCGGGCCGGATTTGGACCGCAGGCTGCCTATTGCCAACCACTGGACGAGAATATTAAAAGAAACAAATAATAATTTAAAAATATATTTTATTTTGAATAATATTTTATTCAGGAAATAATAAATTATACTCATATTAATTATAATAAAGTTATAAAAATTAGGTAGTTGAATTACAAGTAATATTGTATTGATAAAATTTGAAATATTAAACTTAAAATGAGTCTTCAGTACAGTCAACAACAACAGGGGCTTCATCATCATCCTCTTCATTTAATCTATTGAATTCCCATCCAAACTTTTGTTGCAAAAAGCGTTTTATTTGAATTGTACCATCTTTAAGATCATCTTCTAGTACAAAATCACAAGTTTCTAATGTTCTAAATAATTCTTTTAAGCCATTATAAATAACATTATTGTTTTCAACAATGTCAACTAAAAAGTCTTCAGGTATGGTTTCTAGTTGATGACGTATTGCTATAAAAAACTTTGCAAAAAAGTTTTGATCTTGGGATATAGCGTCTTTACTCATACAAAATAATTGAAATAGCTTCTTCCAGCGCTCAAAAGACTCATAACTTAAGCCAAGAAGAAAACAAATATAGGAAAATTGTAGTTCAGCTAATAAATCTATTTTACTGAAAATAAAAACATATATTAGTAGATAATAATTATAATAATAAATACTAAGATATGATAATAAATAAAAACCTATCGTGTTTTTCAGCCATTTTATCAAGTATGTATGAAGTATCAAGTGAATATTTAGTGATTTCTGAAAGTGATGAACCAGGGGGATAATGACATTCTGGAGGTTCAGTAAATCTAAATCATATTGAAAATTTAAATACAGATATAATATACATTTTATTATAAAATAATATAAAGAAAATTGATAAAATTTAATTTACCTTATTTTATTTTCTTCTTTTGGCACCAGATTAGGCAAATGTTCATATCCAACATCTGTTTCACTTCTAATAGGACCCCATTTTCTTCTTTTTTTTGTGTTTTCCGTAACTGATGTAGGAAATAACTCCATTGCTGATCGAATTAATTTTGTTTCAGGGCATAACCTCTGTATCAAGTTATCTAAAATAAAAAATTAATAACTGATAAAATGTCTGAGTACATTCTTATATAGTTTTATTAATTGTCCATACCAGTGAGCAGTGATGACAGGCCATTCCATTTAGATAGCTCTTCGTGTGGATAAGGACCCAAATAGTTATTAAATTGTAATACATTCATCTTGTATTGCATCAATACTAATTGGGGTACATCTACCAACATTTCATTTTCCACGTCCCACTTTTTTACAAGACATTCACCTTTTTTAAAATCATGAAAAAAACCACAACGTGGAGCTGTATTTCCATACTTATCGGTGGCACTGTAAAAATCATATAGTCGTTAAATAATATGATTTATTACATAAACGTTTGAATAGCAACCCAAAAAGTAACAGTATCATCAATACATTTTATTCATATTACCTGTAATATATGAAATGTATACCACGGGGTATCATTTTAACCCCTTTAAATTTATCACCAGTTGCCCAAGACATCATATCGATACCGAATTCCATGCCAGACGGAATGTCAAGAAAAAACGCTGTCGCACCTTTCAGATACAATTTCATGGCTGTATCTTGATCCATTTCCGATGTATTGTTAAATTGAATATTATATAAGGGGAGGTCCTAACATAAACGGTATATATAAATAACATTAACTTTTAAATATAATTATTATAAAACGCACTTACTTAAGTTTTGGACTTGTACATTTTATAATTTTAATTTTAAAATAACTTCACGTTCACAATACGGTCTTATCTCAGTAACAACTGTTATTGATGAAACTGATAATACTATCAACAAGAACATGGTAATTTAGGTGAACTCGTGGTTGAGATAAACGAAGTAAAATTCTACCATGGGTAAACGTGAATAAACCAAGGTGGGCTTAAAAATCCACCTAGGCCTGATTGTATTCTGTGATACAATCACGAGATGTTTATTGTTTATAATTAAAATATTTTTATTTTTTATCTTCACGCTAAGCTATATCAGCAACTAAGTTACATTAAGTTAATTTTTTTTGTTGATGTCATAACTTGTCAACGATACCTATACTTTTTATAAAATAAAAGTTATTTAAAATAATAGTGTGTTTTTATAATTAATACTTTAATAGGTAATTAGCTCTAGTTATAATTAGTTAATAATTTCATTGGCATAATATTCAGTAAACACTTGTTCTGTTTGCTGATTTTAACATTTCACTGACAGTAGGTAACTTATTATTTCAAATAAGTAATCTATTGATTATTTTAAACTTTTTATTTGTATTTGTTAAAAATTCTATATTTGTGCTTAATGTTTAAAGAAGGTAAGCCAATATAAGTTATTTAAAATGCATGATTAATTTTTGTTTACCTATTTATTTAACAAATGTTGATGCGTTTTTTCACATTTGTGTATAATATATACTAATGTTTAAATACTTATTTTATTAATATTAAAAACATATGACAACACTAAAACAGTATGCCAACTAACAACATTTAGATCTCAATTTAAAACATATCTTCTAAATTAGGTATTCTAAGAATATTTCTGTTTAGTTCTTTTTATTCTATTCTTAAGATAGAACAAAATCATGAAGATTTATAATTCTAATATTAATCTGATTCTATTTAATATTTAAAAAAAACAATAGCAATAATAATAATAAGAAACATTCTGTTGCTTATTATAGGTAAGCAATAGATATTATATTAAAGATATAATATTCTTTAATAATTGAACAAGATTTTTATGTTTAAGTTAATTAAAACAATATAATTTCAATAGGTTTTTATTTTTAATGGTGTATAGTTAACAAGCTTACTTCAATTTAAAAGTGCCTTACATATATCATTTAAAAAAAGTCACGGCTGGAAATTTATTTTTTTGCTAATTATATGTAATCTACATATCGCTTACTTGTTTATTGCAGGAAATTAAATTAACTGTTTGTATTTTTTAATGAAAAAAAAAAAATTAATAAATAATGAAAAGTTTCATATTGAGAATAGAAAAATGTTATAGCATCATTAGGTATTTAAAAAATTAAATGAAGGATATGGAGAAGAAATGTTTTCTATATGTTATATTTATGATATTTATTATTTTTTTTTTTTTTAAGAAGCCTAGCTTTTATATTGTACCTATTCAAATTGTTATGTAATAATACAAAATTATATTCTATTTTCAGAGGTATCTCAATATTTTAGTAATATTATGGAAAAAGAGTCTGATATAAGTGCTAGTATAGCAGCAATTACAACACTATTAAAATTATTGGAACATGATAAATGTAAGTACACTTAAAATATAAATAGGATTGTATAATAAGTTGTGCATCATGAAAATGTTTGACAATTTTTGATAATAGTGCTATTCAAAATTACAAGTTACGTTACTGTCAATAAAATAAAACTAATTTATTAACTTGAAAAAGAATATGAAAGCTATTATGTTTTCACAATTAAATATCTACTTATTATTATTTTTGAATATAATGTTATGTTAACTAGTGATAAATTTAATAATAACTGTACTAATTAACCAAATATAATAGATAATTTATTTTTTTTCTCAATGTTTAGCTGAAACTGTACAAGAACTTGATTTTAATTTGCAATCTGCAGTTGAAGTAATTACAAACACTAGTTTTCGTGTAACTGGTGTATCTTCTGGATGTGCATTATTTATGCGATTTATAACATTTGCTAAGTTAGATAATATTGTAAGTATTTTTAAATGTAAGTATAGTGTTACTAATATTTTATTTAATTAAGTTTCATTTTGAATATTTAGACAGTGAACCTATATTTATGGACTTCTCACAATAATGGACTACTCCTTATTAATGGATATTTTATCAAGTCCCAGCAAAATTATACTTATTAGATAGGCCTTAAGTATTTCTAATTTACTGGACCCTTTGGTACTACTGTAATATATTTTTAATTTTGAATAGCTGAATGTATAAAATAAATATAATTTCACATTTATTAATAGTTACAATAATTATTTAATATATACTAGATACTATCTATGAATATTATTCAACTGTGATATGGCTTTAAATAGTCTATATTGAAATAATTATTACTTAAAAAAAAGTAATTATTCATAGTTTCTATATTTGCAAAGTATATGTGTAATATATATATATATATATACATAACTACACCATTATGTCTTGTGGAAAACGTAAAAGACTAACTTTGGCACAAAAAATTGAAATTATAAAATTTGTGGAAGCAGAAAATATTGGAGTACGAGCAGTAGCTGAAAAATTTAATATTGGTAAAACACAGGTTAGTGATATATTGAAAAATAAATTATATTTATCACAAGCATTTGTGGAGCAAGGAAGCGAAAAATCAAAACGCAAATTTCCAAAATCAGACAATGGAATAATCGACACAGTGATATTTCAGTGGTATCTGCATGCTTGTGTCAACAATTTACCAATTTCGGGTCCAGTATTAAAAGAAAAAGCTTTGGAGTTAGCATCAGAAGTTGGCCTTAATGATTTTAAAGCATCAAATGGATGGTTGCAAAAATTTAAAGACAGGCATAAAATTTCTTATAAAAATATTTATACAGATCCTGCATTGCTTAAAGAATGTGTTATTACAGAATGGTTAAACAGTGTGAAAGAAACTATAAAAGATTACAAGGAATGTGATATATTTAACTGCGACGAAACGGGTCTATTTTATCGAATTCTTCCTGAAAATACAATGAGCTTTATTAATGAAACTTGTATTGATGGAAATTTATCTAAAGAGAGACTGACTATTATGTTGTGCACTAATATAGATGGAGAATTTGAAAAACCGTTGATAATAGGAAAAGTTGGAAAATATAATTGTTTTAAAAACATTAATATTGATAATCTTGGAATTGTTTGGAAGTCCAACACTAAAGCATGGATGACACGTAGCATTATGACTGAGTGGCTTTTAGATTTTGATTACAGAATGACTCAATCAAAAAGAAATATAGTTCTTTTTTTAGATAATGCAAGTTCTCATCCTTTGCTTAACAATCTGCAATCGATCAAACTAATATTTTTTCCACCACATATATCTTCTTATTGTCAACCTCTAGGTCTAGGAGTAATTCAAAATTTTAAGATGTTATATCGAAAATATGTATTAAAACATCAGCTATCAATAAAAAATAGTTCTGGATTAATAAATAGAATCAATGTGCTACATGCAATTATTTGGATAAAACATGCTATTAATGAAGTTAAAAAATCAACAGTTAAAAATAGTTTTATTAAATCTGGTATCTTTATTTCAAATGAAAATAAATGGGAAGATAATCTTGCAACTATTGATTATAAAGCATTGTTAAATCATTTGATTGGTGATGACTCTATTAATTATGCGGAAATAGATGACAAACTGTTAACTGAAAATCAATCATTAGATTTAATCAAAATAATGCAAGAAATAATTGACCCACAAATCAGTGATGAAGATGAAGATGATATTGAAGATGAAACTTCATATCTTCTCAGCGAAGATACAGTATTGACCGATTTGAGTCAAATTTCTGAGTCTAATGAAAAGAAAAAAAATTAACATTTAATTATTAGTTAAAAACCATTTTCTTATTTGTTTTAATCCTTTGTGTTAACTAGTAGATTTAAATAAATTTAAAAGTTAATATTGTACAATACCTGTTTATATTTCTTTGTAAAATATAATATAATATTTTACTAAAGTTTTATGTCAATTAATTAATGTTATAAATGTTAGTTTTATTATGTTAACATGAAGGTTATAAAGATAATATAATCATTAATAATATAATTAAATATACAAGTTATTCTATAGAATAACAGTGTAATCTTTTTTTAAATTGTTTATTCGTTTAATATTATTACACATTTCCGTATACAAATATAATAATGTAATTAAATTAGTTTTAAGTTAATATATTATCAAAACTTATTTAGTTAATTATTTTCAAAAATTTAATTTACTATTATTTTTATTTTGATAGTATGATAATATAAAGAGCAAGAACAAAAATTTAAACCTTAAATTCACTTCAGTTAATATGTATACTTTTATATACTTAATTTTAGACTTTTGCGGAATGTAAAAAAGTCATGTTGGATCGAGGAAAGGTATTTTTGAAGAAACTTACCGATGCAAGAAATAAGGTTGCCAAAATTACTCTTCCTTTCTTTGTTGATGGCACTGTAAGTATTGATATACCTATTTTGCACATATTTAGAAAGCTTAAAAACAATGGATAACATTTTTATATTATATTGCATAATTTACTAATGATATAATATTATACTATCATGGAATAATTATACATAATAAACTGTTAATTGTAATATGTAAATTAATATGACCTATCTTACCTGTAAGTAGGTGTTCTCTCTTTAAAGTGCGTCACTCATTTATATATGTATTATATTTTGTTTAATGTATAATGTTTGCCAAAATGTTACTAATTGGTAGTTTCTTATTTATGAAACTCTTATTTATTTTTCATTCCATTTATCATTTATACTTAATGTTATGCATATTTTATCTAATTATATTATTATATTTTAGAATATCTTGACACATTCAAAATCTAGAGTAGTGTTAGAAGCCATGAAATTAGCTGTGAATTCACAAAAAAGATTTCATGTTTTTGTATCAGAATCATCTCCAGATAAAAGCGGGTAATTTTGTAGCATATAATATAATAATAAAGTTTATAGAATGATTTTTAGACTTTTATTTAATACATTTGTTTGTTTATTAGAATTGAAATGTATAATTGTTTGAAAGCACTTGATATTCCTTGCACATTGATATTAGATTCTGCTGTTGGTTATATCATGGAAAGGGTCGATATGGTTATGGTTGGAGCTGAATGCGTCGTAGAGAGTGGTGGAATCATTAATAAGGTGATAAATTATTAAATGTACTTTTATAGTGACCAAGTGATATTTTTACTACAAGGACTAAGCAATATAGTTTTTTATACTATTATTTTATTGTATATATATATTTTTAACGTCGGGTAGGCTCAAGCACAGATATAATAGATAATTACATAATTAATACAACAACATAAGTGAGATATAAATAATAAAACATAAGTAATGTACAATATAATATTAACATATATACAAATTTATTTATACTTAAATCAAAAATTAGAGTACTGAGGCTTAAGGTCTTATAGATTATTAAAGAAAAAATCATATTTTGATGGTTCGCCTTTGGCATAAAAGCGAATTAGAGGACTATATTGAACATAAATTATGTGGTGGGTTTCTGCGTGGAATGTTAGACATGATTAATTGTAATATTGTGGCACATGGAAGGAAATGTGCTCTAACAGTGGGAGACCGGACACATTCCATTTAACAATTTGTGTAAGGTGATATCAGCTTTTTTATTTTAGTTGAAAGAGAATTAAGTTTTAGATTAAACTGAAGACTTTTTATGGTAGGGCTATCAAGGGTATTATTTATTCTTCTTTTATGACCAATAAAACATATGAATCTTCTTTGTATTCTTTCTAGTCTCAATATTGTTCATTTGTATTTGAATTCTATAAAATGGATTCATATTATAGCTTAGAGCGGACTAGTAAAAAAATAAAAAACTATTAGACATTGCTCAATACTCATTTATTACAAAGATAACATTATTTTAGCTATTTTAAGTATAGCCTATTAATTATAATACTAATACATATAATGATATAAAAAGAACAACTACTATCTTTTTCAAAGCTTGAGGTAAATATTCATTTAAACCTTATGTTCACCTTGCAATTATAATCAACATCAAAGGTCTATCATAATTAGTGTAATGAGTTAATACGTAAAATTCTGTTCTAACAGTATTATTATAGGTATGAGTGATTAATTAAGGATACTTTTGTATAATAGTATAAATATCAAAACAATCCTTTTTGATTATAAAATAATCTTGCTTTAATATTAATCTTATTCTATTTTATTTTCTATAGATTGGAAGTTGTACTATGGCTATTTGTGCTAAAGAATTCAAAAAACCATTTTATGTGCTAACAGAAAGTTATAAGTTTTCACGGATGTATCCTCTAAATCAAAAAGATTTACCTAATAATTTCAAAGTAAGTAACATTTTTAAAACTGTGTGGTAGTATAGATTATTAAATTATTCATAATTTTATCAATGTTACATATTATAAAATCAAATTTATTATGATAAAAAGAATAACATAACTTTGTTTATTTCTATGCACTGAAAAGTACAAACTGATTTTTTATAAGACAAAATTTCTTTTTAAAGCATATAGTAGCTTTATTAATAAATAACTAAATTATTTTCTTTCTGTGTATAAAATAAAAATCCAGAAACAAATGTTAAGCAAATTAATGTTTTCACTTACAATGCACACACTTGAAATAATTAAATTCTATATAATTCTCATATTTTGACTCAAATCTAACTTTATTTGTATTTTTTTTTTAATCAATTTTACCAAAATCATTATAGTCATTTAATAAAATAATGTATTTTTTATTTATTTTAATATAGTAATATTTTTTTTTTAAGTAAAAAACCATTTCAAATGCCATTCAATTCAGCATATTATCTAATAATATTTGCTATATATATTAACTTACATTTCTTTAGTTTTTTTTAATTTTCATAAAAACTTCTATCCTTAGTTGAATTCTTTAAAAATGTATAACTGTTTAATGTTATTTGTTAATGTTTAAATATTTATTATTATCTGTAAGTACAATTTTATTAATTTTTTTTGTTTCAATTTAGTACACTGGAAACAGTTCAAATGATGATCATTTATTAAATGCTCATCCTTCTGTGGATTATACTCACCCGTCATACATCAGTTTACTTTTTACTGACCTTGGAATATTGATGCCATCAGCTGTAAGTGATGAATTAATAAAACTCTACTTGTAAATTTACAATATATTTGTTATGTTAACAAAAATATAATGTTTTAATAAAAAATAATTTAAAATTAAAATTATAAACTTATAATACCATTGACTTGTGTTCAAAACTTTTTCCTATGTAAATATATATCCCACTTCATATATATTTTTAATTTGAAAAACATCAAGACGTTTGATTATTATTTATAATATGGAAATAGGATTATTGAGGTACAATGTGCATATCTAATTTACCTTTCAAACTTTAACGCACCTATTCTAAACTATTTATTTTAATTATATTTTTAGTCTATTCAAATTAATTATAGTTATAAGATAATACTGAAAAAATTGACAGTTAGTAATATGATCATTATCAATTGGGAAAGTAAAAAAAAAAATTATACATTATACCATTCTGGGGTATCGAAAAAATGGATCACAGTGATTACACATTTACAAGAATGGAGAGGTAAAGAAAATACTTGTTAAGCATTGTCTTGAGTCTTGAATGTACAAGTGTACTTAGTTTTTTAATTTAGCTTCAGTACATTACTAAATAAGAAGAAAATCTCCATCTATTGAATGAATATAATTCACGCTTTTATTAATACAAAGTGTATTACTCTCATATTGCACTTGTACACTTAATTATTTAATGATGAGCTTCGATGTCTTGTTGTTGGTATTTGATGTTGTGGAGAAAATCACACAGGTATGTTAGAAAAAGGTAAATTAAAATTAAAGTTGTTAGCATCAATAATTTTATTTGTTAATTACCTAATTAAATTAGGGCTGAGGTTACACTGTGCCCTGGGCTCGTGCAAGAGAGTCACATAATGTCTCCTCTTGAGTCAGTTATCAGTTACCTTTTGAACTTGTTATGTTATTTAGTTTTTGTTATTTCATTTTTATATATTGTTATAATTCTCTTGCACCGGAGACTCTGTCAATAGTCTCATATGTAAGCCGTTTTTATAGTAATTGTTATGTTACTCTTATTATTAATTGTATAATACAGTTATTGATTATGATTTTATGCGTTGTTCTCTTTGTAAGTTTTATCTTGACCAGTGACCAGAATATATCTTAACCGTAGGAAGATATCAGACCCTATGCCAACAAAGTCAATGTTGATTATATGTCAAACAATATGTTTAATAAAATGAAGTAAATTGAAATAGTAACAATGTAAATTAATTGTACTTGAAATTTTGTAGGCAGTGTTTACGCTCGGTGCCTGAGAACTATGTGCAGTAAGCTTGTAAGAAATAATCCTAACTTATGTGCTAAGTACCTATTGCTCTTATACATTCATGACCCTAACCATGGTGTGATCTTAATAGAGCCACCGAATTGGTTTACCATAATTACATGCGTAGGAGTTTTTTACAACAAATATTCATAAATATTTATAGATATGGGTTTTATTATTATCAAAAAGCCAATGTACAAGGAGAACTGGTTATACAACAGATGTAAAAAAATATAGTACTAGGGTATACGGTTTACTATATGCCTCCCCATAAAATTGGAGACTTATAATGGAAACATATTTATTTTTGAACATGGATGACATCTTTCAAAGCATTACATTATGTATTGACTTTATTATGTAATTTTGTGTTCTATAACTTGTGTATGAAGCATTTCTGGGACCTATTTCTAAATGGTTTGACACAACATTATAACACTTTTTTGACAAAGAAACTAGTTCCAAAAATATATTACCTCTATTATTACTGCCCTCTTTCTCATTTTGGCCCCTAAATGGTTGACACTATTAGCAGTTCTAACTATAGTTAGTTATAAAAAATGATAACTGTAACAATTTGATATTTTTAGCCCACAGATGTTACTATAGCATACCCTGCAATACCCGTGCGCATGCCTATGGAGCTATTACAATATTATCACTTCATCAAAGTTTAATAAACAAATCTGTATATATAAAAAGACTTGTCCTGGGTGATATCATCGCCTAGCCAGAACTGTTGAAGCTATGGATATGACATTTTCAGTAAATGTATTTATTACTACGTATAGGCGCCTAAGAAAGGATTTTTCGAAATTCGCATTTTAAAGGGTAAAAAGAGCATAAAATAGTTAATTTTTAATTACCGATGGGTGAGGTTCGCGGTATGGCAGCCGTTGACGCGCGGTGGCTACTGGCTAGACGTGGCCGCCCAAATGTCCGCTTCCGTGTCACCGCGGCGCCACCGACCTGCTTAATTACTGTTTTCACTATTGTTATTACTTATTAGTTATTATTGTTTTATTACTATCTATTATTATCATGTTATAAAAGTCAAAAAAATTAATGTTTTTTTTTTTTTTTTTTATCCATAGATGTAGATAGCCTTATAGGCTAGAAATGTCTTATTATAATAAATTTAAATAAAAAAATAAAAATAAAAATTTGAAATGTTGTGCGTACATTCATGAATTGTGGATTTTGTGAACTTAAGTTTTAGTTGAAGTTGTTGATTTTTTTAGGAAGATGTTACAAATTTTTTATACTCACGTCTTACACATTTTTTGATAAGGTTTTTTTCGCTAGTCCTCTGGGGTCACAAACATAATAAATAGTTTTTAAAATCAAATTTAACTCACTTCTTACAGTTACTAGTGACGAGGTACAATCAATACATTACAATAACTTGTTAATTGTTATACTGAGCCTGCGATTAATAATCAATATTCACTACATGAAAAATGTATTTTCCAGACACAACCGGTCAGAATCCTATAGTATGTGAATCGTCGTTGCGAATAAACGCTGCTTTGGCATATTCGATGTTGGGAGGCATACAATCGTCAATCAGTTTTATAACCCCTCGCTGGCTGTACTGCTAGAGTTAGGCATTATATTGTGTAGGAATGGGTTGATCAATGATCGGTGGCAAGCACCGGTTGCAGAAGGTACAACATGTGCAAACTTGCTCAATCAATTTATTCTCGTTGACCATTTCGGTAATGAATAATGATTATTACATCGTAATGATGTTATGCACATAACAATATCAAGTATCGAGATGAGCTAAAATGGTACATACAGGGTTACTATTTTACTAATGCAAGTTAGGTGATTATAAATCATAACCAATCGACTAAATGTCAGCAAGATCAAAAAGAATAAATTGTGAGAAACCACCATCACGCTGACGACATACAGTTACTGTCGGCGCCGATGATCAACACCAGACATATCCATAATATGACGTTGAGATTCTCCGAAAACATTATCGATCATCGATAACAATTACTGCCGGCGACACCGAAGTCTCTTCATTTGTGGTGTTGAACCTAGCGCCGTTGCAACTTGCAAGACGTCTCCGTATCTCCGATCTTCGTGCGTCACGGCACCGGACATTTCTTCAACGACTATGGATGTCACATGTCACCGTTCAGTGTTGGATTTTTTTTTATGTTTCCAGGTGCTATACCATTACTGGGGTGATGTTATAAATATGGTAGATTAGATTGAAATTGAAATACTATTGTTGTTAGCACGAACTAAGATATATATCTTAGTTCGTGGTTGTTAGGAAACTGGCATAACTTTAAGTACTCCTTAGAAGATGCAACCTAAATTACACCAATAGGTCATGAAGTATCAGGTAGAAACAGCAATGATATTATTATGAACGTCACAACGATAAAGAGACGAATTACCTTACATATGGTGACCAAAAATTTAACAGCTGACCAAATGAAATGAACACAATTATACATTGACTTCCGAAAAAGTAGTAACATCATTAAATAATATTATTCTGTATTCACTGACTAAGTTCCGAAATGTTGTGACATAAACTCTTTATTATTATAAAATGGAAATAGATTTATATTGGTAGATAATATGTGTATAATGTGAGATATGACTGTGATCATAGTTTACTGTAAGTATTATTCATTCATAAGCACATTCCTATTGTTTTGAAACACGATTTTGATATACAGTTTATAGGTTACAATTCATATCTTTTAGCTTTCAGTTTTCAAACATCGTTTTCATAAAACGTTTTTACTTGGCTTTATAATCAATCGACAATTAGATAATTGAAAATCGAACACCAAACATTTTTAAAAAGTTTTCAAGGTAGAGGTCATTGACATCGATGCAGCCATATTGAATATGCAATGGTTTCTAATGTACTTTTCGTTATTTATGTCAATAGATATACTACTGTTTATATTTTACATACCTACATATAATATGATTTTTTTTTTATATTTTGTTAATCTTAGAGTTATGTGTTTTTAATTTTCAGTAAATTTAATATTAATCTACCATTAAATAAAAAAATAAATCACTTAAAAACTTCAAGTTCAAACCTGATTTATAGAGTCTGATTCCAAAGAACTATATATTTTTTTAGAACGATTTTACTGGTATCAACTGACGTGTGTGAGATAATGAGTATAAATTTATCATATTTTTTTATAATAAATATGTTATGCAAACACTAATTAATAATCACCGTCATAGTATATTATACATCATTAAGTATGTAAATGACTCAGATTACTTGATAAAGAAAGTACTCTTGGCTTATTGTTCTTTCGTACTCTTAATTTTCCAATATAAATTTAGTCTTTACTTGCATGACCTGAGTTAATTTAATAAACCTTTTCTTATAATTTTCCTTTCCACTTCTTGGCAAAATTAAGAATTCTGCTAAAATAAACAGCATAAAATATATTTCAATATTTAGTAATATTTGAATTCATCTTTAATTCCACAAAAGTTTTCCTTTTAAGACTTATCGCTTTTATCGTAAAATTCTGTCTATACATATTAACATTTTAAAGTTGTATTACTTATGGTCGATATTAATAAAAAATAGGTTTACGAACTACGTCCTAAAGGAAATTTAATTCTCCCGAAGTTTTAAAGTTTTCGATTTAAATATTTAATGAATAACTTTATCTAGATAATTATACTTAATTTTTTCCTCTTATATGGGAAGAATATTCTAGTAAGATTGGCTCTATTAAAGCATTTAACGCAAAATCAAAATTATTTATATGATTGAGCGTAGTTATTTTGGAAATTTTAAAAAGTTGATAAACATTAAAGAATCAAAATTAAAAATTATGTTCAACAATATTAAAAAAATTGCACAACGATTTTTCATATAAATTTTTAGTTGTTATGCCACACCAAAAACCTTTGTACTTAAAATCCACTTGGTATTGATGGCAAAGGTGATATTAACGCTTTTATTTAACTTGAACTAATTGATTTAAAAATTAATTTGCTTTATTCTGATTTATGGGCAACAGGTTAGGCACAACCATATAATGCTACATATTATAACTAACTATTGTGAGTATAACTATCTGTGTATACAATAGATTTAAATAAATGTTCTATTAAATTCAACCCAGTATTTTAATAAATTGACATTATGAAGAATTTTTAATATTATATTAAAAAAAAACTCAATTTTCTTGATTTGAATTTATAAAAAAAAGTTAAATTTAATTTCTGTCAAATATATAATTATTTTTACTTTTAATTTGTATTGGTTATGAATACAAAATAAAATGTATTTTTTGTACAAACAATTTGTATATTAATGTCAAAAATTATGTATTGCATAAACTTTTTAAGATGAATTTATTGACACAATATTTGTGTAAACTTACCTTTTTTCATCTGGACACAATTCGTGTATTAAAAAACAATTTCCCAGGCACAACTCATATAACTAAAAAAAAGCCGTAAAACACAATAATATTATGTCTGGAACAACTAATTTGTAGTCATATTATACTCATATTATTTTTAGACGGGTCTGCACTCTGTAGTATTAATTTCTACAGTAAATTTCCCAATATACGCACTGGTACTTGAACTAATGTTAACGATTCTTATACAGAGTATTGACTCATCATAAATCTACACGATTATTATGTTGATTTAATGAGTCAAACATCATTGTATGAACTTGTATTAACCTCAACATAGTTTAAACAAAAATACACACTTGCACTTTGTGGTACAACAAGTATAAAACACGGAACGTAATTTTAAATATTTTAAGATTTATGAATTACAGCGCTTAGTTTTTATGCGCATGCTTACCGATAAGTTTGTTTTCAAAATATAAACGGTTGTTTTTACATGCATACTTGTGTCATACGATTTTACACGGATAGAGTGACAATTTTAATTCTTTCAGTATTTCCAAAATGTTTGACCGCAGTAAATCGACAGTGGACCTCAAACGATACAGTTATAATTCGGAACCGTACCTGATAATAGCGACTGTGCTTTACACGACATCGCTGACGGTATCTACTTCTCTTGAGAATGAAGCTTACAGGAGGAAATTCTGCCAACCGTTGATTCCGTTCGGAGAATGCCTAGTTGGTATTTACGAAAGTCAACTCTTAGTGTATTCAGATACTAAAATCTTACAGTATTTAATTTCTTTCGTAGTTTTATTACTAGCAGGTAAGTGCAAATTAAAACATAATAAATATACACTTGCAAGCAAAATCTTGAATTATTTATTTGGTAATAGAACGATAATGATTGACCAATACTTTTTGTTTTTTAGATTTTAAGTAGAACAAAGATTTTATTGATTTTACAATGATAAGTGTATGTGTGTATGTTTTTGTATCTAAAGACATTTTTTCTTGTATAAAACACATTCTGATAAATAAACATAAGAGAAATTACTGATGATAAATTAAATCTAGTTAACACTTGAAAGATATCAAAATTGAAGATTCTTAGTACTTCTCTGAGTAACTGAGATAAACAAATATAAATATAATCACTAATTTATGCAATAATTATTGAGTGCACCTTGTACTTAGAAATTAAGTCAAACTTATAGGTAGATTCTTGAATTAAATGATAAACTATTGCATACGAAAAACGAATCTGATCAAAAACAGCTTGACAGCCAATATTACTGAGTTGATATAAGATATTTTATTATAATATATTAATTACTGTAAAATTTTATTTTTATTACTAGCCATATAGTATATTAAAATAATTTATGTCAAACAATGTTGTATAAAATACAATTATAATATTTTTTTAAATTTCAAGATCCTGGGAATAATATTTTTAGATTACAATAAACTAAGAATAACTAAAATTATTTTTTTTTGTTAAAATATCAAATTTTAACATTAAATATCTATAAAAAAATTGAGTTTATATATTTTTTTTTTTAGATTATTAGTTTACAGTATGAAAACGAATAACCATAAATACTTAAAATATTTATCAAATATTTATATTATCATTTTTTATATGTGATGTTATTTTCTAAATATATCCATTCATTTATCATTTTGAGCTATTTTTAAATTATTTTTATACTATACTTAAGGAATTGAATCATATTATTTTTAAATAAGAACTCCCTTTTTTTTCTTCAATAAATTGTTAAGTGAATTACATTTATACAAATATTAATGTATCTAATTCAAAATTTGAACTAGTGGTTTTTTTTAATTATTAAAATTTTTATAGCAAAAATAAAAGAATTGTTGCAAAGCAATTGTTATATTGATTTATAATGATGATGTGTTTTTTTTTAATAAAAATAAAAAAAAAAACTCTGGTCATACATTTTGATGGAGATTTCTAACCGAAAATTGGAGTTAGTTGGTAATTTTGGATTGTTTAAAATGTAAAACACTCAATACTTTTTAAAATAATCGAGTAAAAAATTACGAACATTTATTGAAATTATAATATTATTATTAAAAAATTGTTTATTAATCTTGCAAGTTATCAAAAAGTTAGACTGTCTTCACCCACAAACATTATCTTATTTCAAAACTTATCTAATTTTATCTTCATAGAATAAGAAAGTATAATGTGTAATTTTCTGAGAAATTCAAAAATTCAAAATTGTATTTAAGTGTATGAAACAAGAAATTTAATAAATTATGTTATCATTCAAGAAAGTATAATTAAAAAATAGGAAAGTAGTTAACTATTCTGTTGTACCACTGTCTTATTTTAATAAATAAACAATCAAAAACAGGGATTTCACAATTAGCACACAAGTATGGTGACTAGATGTATTTATTTTATAAGAACACTAATTATTTTTGGAACTTTTGGATGCATGTTTTACTGTTCTAAAAAAATAACTGAAGTACATAAAAATTTACTTTTTTAAATTATCTAATGATTACAAATAGCTTAATGTTTAAAAATATCGTCACGGAACATTATTTCATCTAGCAGTTTTAAAGATTGAATGAAGCTTCTTTAGGATATTTTAAACTACTCAACATTATAATTCATAGAAATGAAGAATTATTAATTTTACTAAATAAAGTTAGAGTATATTTATAATATTATAAAATTATATCAAGTAATTATATCAATAAGTATTACTTTAGACTTTAATTATTGTAAATAAAGATTATTATGATTAATTTTGATTGAAAGCTAATTATTTGTATTCTATAGCTATATTGATTATTCAAATAAATAATTTACAAATATGAATAATTTAAAGTTGGTTATTTTCATTGATTTGGATTACAATTGATTGAATTATATGGGGCCAAATAACAATTTTTTTGAAACTTTTAAGACTTCATTAGGTTTATAAAAGATGATTAACTATTTGATGAAATTGGTCAGTTAAAGTTGTATTTAACAACAGAAAAAATGTTTGGTTAGAATAAAAATAATATACTGACTGGAGGTCGATAGATAGAATTTTTTTATTTTATAAAGAAATAATTAACTTTAGTTATTAACTAACAAAAGTCGTGTGAATTTGTTTTAAGACTTCCAAGAACAAGGGCACCATTTGAAAGAATTTTAATAAATCAATAATTATTGAAATTCTGAAAAATTCCAACTAGAAACTTTTTTATTGAAATCAATAATACAGATTAGAGGTTTATACATATTTCATATTTTGATGAAATGTGAAATAAAATGTTTTGTATGTTGAAAAATGATCAAAAGTATTAAAAGAAATTCATGGGTCTAAAAATATTTAAAATATTGTTATAATTTTTTTTTTTTTTTTTTGTTAAGTTTTATAATTGCTTATAAATGTATTCCATTTTTTTTCTAATTAAAAAGTTAAATGTTTGGCGTAAAAGATAATGATATATTCTAAATAATAATTTTTTTTATTAAAAGTTTGTTATTAATTAAGTTTTATTTGTTATCATATGATTTATGTGGGTACCGACTAAAGATTTTTTTGTTGATTATTAATAAAATAAAAAAATTGTGATAGTTGTTGTTTCAAAATAATTAGAAGTTATATATTTGTTATTAAATTGTAATTATTTATAAAAATAATATGCACTTTTTTTTTAAATGTTGTCGCTCTACACATGAGTAGTGTACAAACATTATGAAGATAGGTAGATCACTATAATTGTCATATCAATACATTACTTATAGGCGTAATATTATTGCATTTGAGATCTCTAGGACATCAGTGTGTGACAAATAAATGTATTCTAAGAAAAAGGTGTTTAATTTGAAATAATAATTATTCATAGAAATTTATGTAAGCATATTTTCTTTATTTGTGTATTGTTAGTTTTTACCTACTTATTATATTATCTTGAATAATGTATTACTGAGTTAAAGGCAAATAATTAAATTCATTAAATTAATTTTTTTTTGTTTGATTAAATATATAATTTCACCCAAATTTCCTAGGAAACAAAAAAATATAGTTATTTGGTTTTAGTATTTATTTATTTATTAAAAATATTTTATGAACTTTTAGGTATGAAAATTCAACATTTTATTAATTTTGAATCATATTAAGTAAAACATTTCTTATCGATAATCATTAAAAAAAATAATATCTAAAATTTTTCAATTTTATAAATAGCTCAAAAAAAGTATAAATATATTGAAAATGATATTACGTATACAAAATATTAGGATGTAAACTTATTTTGATGACCTTTCAAGTATATGCATTTTTGTTTTTTATTTACATCACAATAAGAAGATACTGTTTATTGAAAACGCGCGGGTTTTAAGTAAAAATTCCCATTTTTCCTAATTTTTATTTTGAAATTGCTAAGAAAAGTACTGAGAATTTTATTAGAACAAATATTGAAAATTCAAAACCAAAGTATTTTTTCTACCTACTATATAGAATCTGGTGGATATACTTTTGTTAATTAAAATACTCACACACACACACAAATTTTAAAATCGATTTATTCATTTTTCACCGCAAATCTAAAATATTAAAATGTAAAATGGTTTTTTTTTCTACAAAAAAAGTTTAAAGTTTTTTAATTTTGTAAAAAGATTAAATTATTTAAAATAATATATTTCTAATAACATAAATACTTTTTTTTTTAAACTTTAAGTTTACCTTGAAAAATCCTCTATTGTACATGTATAGTTATATGTAATTGAATCATATGTTTATTAATTATAAATATTTGTTACATCATTTTAATAACTAACGAAATAAAATTACTTTATTTATTTTCAGGAGCATGGAGTGACAGACATGGAAGAAGACGTAAACCTTTGATTTTCTTACCAATCATTGTACAGATTTTAACAGATGGATTGATTATCTTATCTTACTATTGGTCTTGGCCTTTGACATTTGATGATATCATAGTATGGACATTTCCTGCACTTTACGTTGGTCGAAATATGTTCTGGGTGGGCGTGATGTCATATGTATCGGAAAATTCTACTATTAAATCAAGAACTTTAAAACATGGAATAATAATTGCAACCTATCCTTTAAGTTTGTTAATTGGCAATGGTGTAGTTGTATTAATAGGAATGTTCATTCAATTTAAATATTATTATGGTTTATTGTTTTTGGTATCATTGTTGTTAAATTTGATTGCGTTAATGGTTGTCAAGTTGTACATTAAGGACACATCTGACTCGTATGATAAAGACATTATATGGCAGAAACCAAAATATGTTCTGAAAGAGTTCACTAGTTTATTTGAAAATAAATTAATTAATTTAACTGTTGTATTGATGATATGCCAATCAATATTAGTTACAAGAATAGGATGTAAGTTATAATATAATATATACAATTTTTGTAAACTTTATAGGTACATTGGGAATTGTGTTGAAATTTTATTTTTCAGGTGACTATGATTTATTAATGATATATATTAAACATTCAAATTATTGGTATAATGATGAAGAAGTTTATTTTACCGTTTTAAAAATGTTAGCCATATTTTTTGGTAATTTTATTATTCGTTTATATTAATTGTTTAGGGAACGTCATACTGCAAATGTTTTCACAATTTTACTAATCCATAACATACTGGTATTCATGTTCAACAGTTTTAGTTTTGTATTGTTAACTTGGTTATTGGAGTAGATTGATCTATTTTCATACTCAAAAGTAAAATAATTATCTGTGTTATTTCGTTTGATTTTTATAATATTTTAATTTTTAAACGAGTTGTGAGTGTGGTTAGGAACTTATAGGAGTTATAGGTATAATATATTTTAATATACTAACAATACAAAACTAGAATTGCTGGACCTAAATATTGGTATATGTATTACGTATGTTAGTAAGAGCAAAGACCATACATGTGGGTATGACGTCTTTATAACAAACAAAATTATTTTTGAAGAATTATTTAGCTATTTATAGGTATTGAAGGAAACCTAAAATATTGTACTCAGTATGAACACTTTTTAATTTTTTTTCATAATTTTAAAACTTATTTAATATTTTATCTTATTTTTTTTCATAGGAATTGTGTTTTCGTCTTCTGTTTTAAGTCATTGTATGAAAATAAACGATTTAAAAATTTGTATTTTATTTTGCTGCTTTTACATTGCAGCTGCTATAAGCTACATTTTTCCAAATCAAATTTGGCAAATTATTATGAGTAAATATTATTAATTATTTATTTGTACTTAATACTTCATACATTTATACAAATATTGTGTTTTAATAATAATCATTCGTGTTGTAGTTGCAATTATTTATTTATGCCATGGAACAGTGGTAACTATTATTAGTTCAATAGTATCTAAATTAGTGGCAATCGATCAATTAGGTATCTGCGTATACATTTTTATTATACTATTATTTTTCAATTTTGTAAGAAAATTGTAATATTTAAATTTTTCTTTAGGTCGATTGAATTCCATTCAAATGTGTATGAACTCTTTGTTGACTCTTGGTGTAGTTTACGCTTATCAAATCGCATTTGGTTACATTAATTATACTAAAATTGGACATTTGTGTTTGATCACTTTCTTGTATGTCCTTTTAACTCTACCCATATTATATGTGTTTGTGTAAGTTATTTTTGATTACGGAAAATAATTATTTACATTTACTAATAATATACTTTCATAGGATTTTGTATTCTAAGTACAAAGATTTCTGGCAAAATTATACCGTTGCAGAAAAACAAAAAAATGTATACGTCATAAGTCAATAAAGTTTTGATGTTATCTAATATTTTATTTATGTATTCTGTATTTTTGTAAATTCAATACACATAAATGCCATTAATTTAATTATTTTAAAACAGAGGGAATAATATATTATTTGTTTTATTTTTGCGTTAATGTATTTATTTTGTCGTTATAAGTAAATAGAAAATATAATAATATGTATCCAACCTCCTGTATTACTAAAGTAACCATCCATCCTTTATATTTTGTGTATTTCATTGGCATTTTAAATTTAAGTCCATGGAATTAAGTATTTTTTTTTACACATAAATTTGAAAATAATTAAATATTATTTAATTTATAAATATTGTATCTTAAAATTTATTTAAACTCTATTGATAAGTATTTAATGTACATAATCACAGAGTGTATCATATTTTTACTTATATTTCACGATAGGTAGATGATATTATGCACTCTACTCGAATTCATCTAAATTTTAAATGCTCAGGCACCTTTAAATTATAATTATTTAGTTTCTAATTCATGTTTGGTGTGTATAGTTTATATACCACGATAATACAGTTTAATATTATATTTAAATTTAAAAAAAACCGAAGATATTTTTCAGAATATTAATTTAAGACATTTTAAATCTTAAAAATCAATATAATTCCAAATTGGCAAATTTAAATGATTCCGAGTATTTAACAATTAATAAAATTATAAATACAATTTAATTTACAGATAATTGTTGACCCTTGATAAAATTATCATTTACAGGTTACCAATTTACCATATAAACTATTAGGAGGCGGTCTTTCAAAAAATAAACATTTCTATACAATTTTTAACTTATTATTTTACATAGTAAGCGTATCAATATTAAAATAGCATTGGGTACATTCAGCGTGTTAGTAATCACCAAAATAATATTTAAGTGATATGACTTTAATATTAACTCAGATAAGATGATTGGTATACAAAATAAGAGCGAATTAATCACCCACTCGCTCTGTTCGAATAGCACAACCACAGTATTATTTCGTGTCTCAATACAATTAATTGTGAAGAAACGGTCCATTATATTGTGTAGATATAGCCAAACTCGACTGCAGATTAAAAATACTATTATAACAGAAACATCACGCTTTGGATCTTAAACAAATATAAATATAGTATAATATTAAATTATTTTCATGATTCTCGTATACGGTATTACTACTATAATCAGTCAATTGGTCGAGAAACTAACTTTGAAATTTAATTTTCTCGGACAAATTACGACAGCCATCTATAAATTATTGTTCAAAATAATAGATTCTTATATATATATATATATACACACAAACATCAGGAGAACAGTATTATAAACCATGAAAACTAACTCACGTAAGTAAATATTAATCCCACAAATGTTAATAGCTTATTTTTCTTATTTATAATAAAATATTAAGCAATAATTCTCTCGTAGTACGTATTACTTATTAGATATAATTTATAATATATTGTTTTGAGGTTTTATTCTAACTAGAAAATCATTATTCACTTAATTATATAATGTAAATAATTAGACACCAAATTTTTGTATGATTTATTATTTATTTAATTTTGTGGCAGTTAAAATGTGAATATTTATGTTTTAGTCATACTTTGATGTCTTAATCGTTAGTATTTCAATAATAAGAACATTTTAATTACTATTTACATTTTTTGACGTGACAACTCTAATAATTATAATTAACTAAATTGAATAAAACTTCATAGTAAAATAAAAACTTAAGTTCATATCTTTAAATTTTAAATAAAAGAATTAAGGATAGAAATGCGAGTTTTGAATAAACGAAAAACCCTTTACCCGAAATATTGTTTTCTTTTTCTTTTTATTGATTTCATATTTTCTTATTACTTATGTATTTTGTGTAAATTATAAGAAATATTATGAGTATCATTAATAGGCGTTTCTCTACTCAACGTTTGTCTATTTATATTAATATGTTTATTTTAAGTATCTTACCCTCGTATTTTATACTTATTAGTTATTATGAATGTGTCTATTAATCGTATTTTTAAAAATTCTAAAAACGATATATACACCATTGATAAATTAAAATAATTTCTTAAACAAAATAAACATGTATTTATTCTTGGAAAAATAATTATTTCATGGCGTCAATAACAAATAGGTTCTTAATTTAGGTATATTTATTTTATTCTTAATTTAAAACATAAGTTACATAAGTAACTGTGAAAAATAATCGTTGTTAAAATGAAAATGAATTACGTCTAAAAAAAAATAATAATTTTATTTACCTATATTATGATCTGATAAATCAGATTGTAAAATTTAAAATAAGTTGTATCGACTACTTATACTTATACGAGATATATAAATACATTTTGATGTATTCAAACATTTTTTTGGTTGATATATTTAATTTATCAATGCATTATGATTCATAAAAATCGAATAAAGTAATAATTTATAAACGTATTGGTGTGGAGTTCGATTAGTCATTAATAATTATGATTTTAACAATAAAAATGATCAATTAAAATAATTTTTTAATTATTAAAACTTTAAAATGTATCTTATCAAAAAAAAAGAAAAAAAGTAAGCTATCATTAAACATATACAGCAATATAATAAACAGTCACAAATCAGTAATCATATAAAATAGTTGTTGTGGAAAGCAGATTTCAAACTTAATTATCTCTGTTTATTAGTCATTACAATTATAATGTCATCCAACAGATTACATTTTAGTCTTGACATTATTAATAATTTCTTATAAATTTACAATTATTCCAGTGCATTTAATTTTTTCGTTATATAATTACTATATTATTCTGCAAATATATTTTTTTGTTTTTTAGACTTTTAAATAAAATAATTATTCTTAATATTTAATAATAAACACTATTCCATTGTACGCAAGAGTGAAAGCAAGGGTAGAAAATACATAAAATATTTTACAAGTATTAAGTACCTCAAACTTTTCCCGGTTAAGTTAACTTCTTGAAGTAAACAAAATATTGAAATTTTCTGTTAGGTATGATATTATACTATGATCAACATTTTTCATGGTTCTTTTTTTTAACATTGATGACATTTGCAGAAATGTCTGTAATCCTGAAAATCTGTAAGCCTGCTTTTAATATTTATAATATTATTTTTTCCAACAAGAACTTTTTCATGATGCTATCGTGGTTATAATAATTGATGTACATAACCTTAACCCCGCATCCCACGATAATGATAACATTATATTTACATTTATAAATGAAAATCATTAAGCAATAGTATCTAATCGTATAAATGACAATGTCGAGGTCAATATAGGCCATATATTTTACCTATCAGATCTACAATTTAAAAATATTAATCATACGTAAGTACTAAACTCACCCTATTAACTGTTATGAAGACTGAGATCTTTTGATGTTTTAAAAATTATTTTTCTTACATTTATTAGAATATAATTTTAAAAATAAAATAAGAATAATTAATACTTTATAGTTTATTATGGTATCTAAAGGCATCTACAATACTCTATAACATGTTTATGATTTATCACTTATGAGTAGGCATTTTATTTTTATTTTTATGACTTATAGAGATTAGAAGTGACAGTTAGTGTTTAAACCAATTTTTTTTATTCTTTAATCCACCATCGAATGTACTTATTCTTTTAATTTGTATGGATATGTTTTACTTAATTTTAAATTAAGTACATATTACTGAATCATTAATAATAATTTAGTTCTATCCATTTCGACATAAATTATTGTTTTTTTTTTTTTTTTTTTGTATTTACTTATAAAAATGGTGTTATATCAAAATATCAAACTATTCACAAACTACTTTTAAACTCAACAGGTAATATCTTCTTTGGTAATGAACGATTTTAATGGTTATAAAATATAATAATGGAAATAGTTATTCTACGTTACATCTTGAAATTTGTTTTTGTCTATAGAAAAATTTTACATAAAGGACTACACTCATTATTTAACATTATAAATTATGTAACATGCAAAAACTCACAGGTAATAATCAAAAAGTTCTACAAATACAACCTTTTATATGTTTGTAGTTTTTTTTTTTATTCAGTTAGGATTTAGGAAAATCATGTTTTTCGGGAAAAATAATTCGATTAAATAAAAAAAAGATATATTATAGTGACGTTATAACCAAAATATTAAGATGGTCCTATTATTTATTTTGTTGATATGTATATAGTATAGAATATAACATGTATATATACTATTTATAATATGGTTGACACAATGAATATTAAACAGTAACTTTTAATTTTCAATATTATGACTTACTAATTTTAAGATAGAATCTATGGATTTTAACTTAACATAGTTTAAAATTGACTGGTTCTATCTAGACTGAGTACTATAAGTAGCAAATTTTTTAACTTTATATGGCATTTAAAAAGTAGTATAATTTTTGAAAATTAATTAAGTTATACATAGAATATAACTAATATATATTTGTAAATTGTATTTATTTAACACTATGTAGTTTTGGATAACTCTTTAAATAACGACATTAATTAGTTATAGATGAATTTGAATCATAAAGGATAGCTTTTATTAAATATTTATGTACAGAAAGTAGATTTTAAAAAAATAATTGATTTAACAATTTAACACCTTTTGGTTCTAAGCTCATGGTATCTTAACCCCTATAAAATCATTCCTTGAAAGACATACAAGATAGGTTAATGTATATAAAGTATAAAGTTAAATACAAATATTTAAAAATAATTAAACTTATGCCATAGTACAGTTAAATTGACGTTAAGTTATATTTTTCTTTATAGTTAACAAATAATATATAATTTAATCGTAAAAGTTAAAAGTTAATATGAAGATCAAGTATTTATTTAATTCAATTAAAAAGAAGTTCTTTAATATTATTATTTTTTTTACCGGCTTTACTTGGTACTTTTATGTTACTTCCTACATAATAGCGATTCTGTAACATTTCATATATTTTTTTTTAATTATTACTTAATATTACAGTAAATAGTAAAAAGTGTAGTAGGTATTAACGTAACTAGTAGATATAGTAGTTAAGGTTAGACGTTTAGACATTTGCACCAACTAAATTATTAAATCAAAGAATACTTATTTGTATTTATCTATTTAAAATAATTTTTTAAATGGCGAGTAATTAAATAAAAAAAAAAAATAATAATATTTAACTATATAATTTATAGATAATATGTAATAAAAATGATTTTAATTAACGTATTGTTTTATATAAATTTAAAAATCATAAAACCACTTTTAAATTGAATAGCTTAAATAATAATTAACTTTTCGACTCAGCTTTAACTTTTGAATTATAATTGAAGGTAAAAAGGTTTGCAGTTGAATAATACGTAATATTGTGTGCTATTGACGTGTCGTTTGATGTATTTTATTTTATTTTTTTACACCGGTCGTTCCGGTTTTCCGGCTGTGCAGGACGCATATCCCAGAGATGGGTGATGGCCGTGATGGGGATGTTGGGTGTGACGATGGCGTACGTGATGCGGGCGTGCCTGGGCATCACGCTCACGCAAATGGTGATGCCTGTGGTGGAACAGGGGCGACACAGCGATCCGCTGACGGTCGTGAAACACGATTTCTGTCCGTTGTTGGTGACGGCGGGGCACTCCTCTATGGCGTCCAACCGGACGACGTCGGCGACGATCACGGCACCGGCGCAGGGGCGCGTGCATGATAACCGTCCACGGTTCGACTGGGACGAGGAGACCCAAGGGGAGGTACTGTCGGCGTTCTATTACGGTTACATACTCACGCACGTTCCTGGAGGCGTGCTGTCCCAGAGGTACGGCGGCAAGCACACCATGGGCTTCGGCATCCTGTGCACGGCCATATTTACGTTGATGACGCCGTTCGTAGCGTACATCGGGTCAAAGCCGTTGACCTACTTGCGGTTCATCGAAGGACTCGGCGAGGTAATGCCCACCATACTGTTTACCTAACCCATACATTGTTTGTTTATCGCATTATCGTACTGTTTGATATCGTCACCGAGGACGATACAGTTGATTGTTGTTATAATATATTTAAAGACACGTGTTGAGTCGACGTGATCGCACTAACTCGTCGACTCGGATTTACACGGAAGAATGCAAGTCGAGCGTAAAGTTACTACATTTTTTATATTTTTGACTTGTAAATTTGAACGGGATGGTAACCATTAACTTGGTTAGAACCAGATACATATTTTTTTTAACTGATTATTTTCAGTCCTTGTACAATAAATTTATTTGATAGAAATAGGTACGGCAAAAGAACAAATGCATATAATAAAAGTAATGCGTATAAGATCGATTGACAGAAATGGTCGCAATCCAGTGGCTGACCAAACTATCAGACGTTATTAATAATTTTTATAATAAATTTATATTATTTAATTATATATTTAATGCGTTTTATAAGTTATTTATTTTTGACAATTTAATTTGTTAAGACATCACGACACCGAGATCTTTGAACACATGACCAAATAATCAGACAGTGTTGAAATATTTGAAATTAATGTATTTTGTTGAGATATATACTCATATTATTTTGTTTTAAATGAGGATCAAAATATTATAATCCAGAACCAGTGAATTCAATACTTTTTAGTTTAAAATGTAGTGCTTATAATACATATAACGTTATAAATAATATTTATGAGTATTTTAACTTTTTATTTATTAAAACAATAGTTTATACATAATATATAAGATTTATATGCGGGGGAAAAATGACTTAACGTAAGTATAAAAATAATTAATTAGTATCTATATAATATAAAACTAATAATTTTAACTTATTAGATTGGAAGTTAGTTTTAAAAAAGTAAGATTTTTCATATAACTTAGTTAAAAGTAATTTAATTTTAACTTTTTAACTTGTTAATGTTTAGGCTTGTACATTATAACGTCCATAGATGATTTAAAAATAAAAGTGAGCAATATTTCCTATCTTATTTTTTTTTTTTTTTTACATATTATTTATATTATAATACAACATAACTAAATACGAAGGTTTTGGAATAAGATTTCACAACGTGTAATATAAAATGAATTATTTTTGTTTTTAATAAAATATTAATATATTTACATCCAATATTTTGAACTATCATCTATTTGTATTTTACAAATTTTACAATAACGTACTTATATATACTTATTTATCATGAATATACTCGTGCTTTATATACGTACTTTATTATTCATTATCAATTATTATAAATGTATAAATAATTAATAATTAAATTGAACAGTTTGTAATCTACCTTCTTCCCCATTAAAAATAACTAATGACTAATGATTTAATTTTATGTTAGAATACGTATACTATTTTAGCAAACAACTTATTATATTATACATTTTATTAATCTTTGTACAACACTTTAAAAATAAAAAATTATATAAGTGTACCGTATATATATAGTATAATATACATATTATAATGAACGAATAAGTAATTTTTAATTATTAGTAGTATAAGCAGGGGACGGTATATTTATTTAAAAAATAAACTTGTTATATATTATAATTCATATTTTTATGAAATAAGTTATAATATGCTTCTATTTTATAATAAATATTATATTAATATAAAGACCGATGAAGGTATGAAGCCACCTGAAAAAATTCTAGAAACACACCTATATTAATTACTAATTATATAACCTATGCTATATTAAGATTACAATTTTGTATAAACTTTTTAAAAATCATAAAAATACCTTATTTTTTTATATTTAATGGATAAATGCTAATTAATTCATTATCATTTAAATTTATATATATATTTTTTTGAATGTTTAATGTAAACCAAGTTTAATCACATTATTTTAGTTTTAACTATGTATCTACATACATAATGTTATCCTTTTCTATTTACACTTGATTCAGTTTTTTGTATTCAAGTACACAGTGCGTTTTTATTTTTTTCCGCTTAGGGTATGACGTTCCCAGCGCTTTGCACACTCTTAGCGCAGTGGGCACCACCCGAAGAAAAAGGAAAGTTTGCCACGCTAGTGTTTGCAGGTAATACGATACATACGAGATTAAAATTAAAGTAGATACACGCAGGATAACTTATTCGCATAACTTTGTATTAGGTGCACAAATCGGTAATATTCTGTCGAATTTTTTGAGCGGGTTTATTATGCGGTACATACCTGGTGGTTGGCCGAACGTCTTTTACTTTTTCGGCGGTGTTTCGATCATTTGGTTTTTATTATGGTGCATGTTCGTCTATAACGATCCAAATTCCCATCCGTTCATTTCGGACGAAGAGCGGGCTTACTTAAAAAAATCTATTGGAAGACTAGAAAGGAAGAAGGTTTGGACAGCTTTTTGGTCAGACCTTCTCTATTAAAACATAGTATGAATTATAATATTGATTTATGTATACAGGATCTTACCCCTACACCTTGGAAATCCATTTTAAGGTCTAGGCCTGTATGGGCATTGGTCATCGCTGGAGCAGGACACGATTGGGGTGCTTTCACTTTAATCAGCGATCTTCCTAAGTATATGAGTGATGTTTTGCACTTTTCTGTGACTGAAGTAAGTCAAAATCAAAAAGTATTTATCAATGAATAAATAAATTTATTTATATTAATTCAAAATATTTATGCTGTTAGAACGGTTTTTTGTCATCAATCCCATTTCTTGGTCAATGGGCAACATCAGTTGCTGCAAGTGTACTAGCCGATCGTTTAATAAGTAATGGAATGATGAATGTTACAAATATCCGAAAAATATATGCCATAATAGGTATAAACATTGAGTAAAAATATCACTATCAAAATGATATAAAAATAATTTCAAATTGTATATCTTTTCAGGAAATCTTGGTCCCGCTATGGGAGTGATGTGTGCTTCATTTGTTGGTTGTAATAAAATCCTTGCAACATTGTGTTTTACCTTGGGTGTAGCCCTTATGGGATTCTGCTATCCTAGCTTACGTATTAATTCACTTGATTTATCACCCAATTATTCAGCTACACTAATGGGAATGGTAAATGGTATTGGGTGTTTGTCAGGAATGGCCACGCCATACCTCGTAGGAATACTTACTCCAAATGTAAGTTTACGTATACATTGCTACAAATTAAAAAATAGTTAGCAATAATTTCAATTGATTTACTTAAATCATAGTTGTATACTGAAAATACTACATACACAATATTTATTTATATAAATATTACATATTATATAGCATGTTTTGTCCTAATTCTTAAAAATATTTTTTTATTTTGTAGGTAATTATTTTTATATTTAATTTAGTTGATTTTATATTTACACTTCAGATAATTATTTAAGCAAAACAATTAGTAAATTTGATATAAGCTGTATATAAAATAAGTCGATAAACTGTAGTATAATCTATGGTATTATTTCAATTTCAATTTTATGATTTAATTGTTCACTCTTTTGTGTATAACGTCATGATTAAAAAAAAAAAAAAAATACAAGTAATAGTAGTACTGATGTAATGTATTAGTATATCATATCATCTTGCATGAATAGTTTTTTACGAAACAAGTGATAATAAATAAATTTTGTTATGGACATTTAGTTCGCCACAAATTATTTATTTTTTTTAATAAGTTGCCATATATCTTAATATTTTGCTTTTTTCAAATGCTTATTCTAGATTAATATTTATCTAGTCTATATTATACTATCTAGTATCAAAGAATATAACATATTATATATTTTTTCAAATATTTTAGAGAACCGTTTTAGAATGGCGTTTGGTATTTTGGATCATGGTGATAATAATGGTGTCAACATCTATAATCTTTGTACTTTTTGGATCTGGTGAAGTACAACCATGGGATGACATAAAACAATATCGTCTAAGTGAAAATGAAAAAGAAACTAAAAATGGTGAATCAGATGCAATACAATTGAAATCAATAGAAGATGGAATAACATCAAAATAATTTGATTTAAAATGTAATCGCATACATAACAAAACAGTCAAAACCATCCTAAACATTGTAAATATAAATACATTTTACCTATTAATTTAGTTATTGAACTTTTGTTTTATTAATTATTTTAAAAATGTACTGTTATATGTTGAAATAATAAAATAAATTGTACTTGTATACAAAATACATCATTATTTATATTCATTAAAATAAACAAATTATTTTTGTACACTATTATGTTATTTGGATTTTTTGGATTTTATTTATAAAAAATCTGAATATTGTAAAATTATTGATAATATATATATATAATATATTTATATATATATATATTATTTAACTAGTTTGAACTCAATATTGCTTTATTTAAATGAAGTATTTTGTCACTAATTATTAGATTCAAACAACAGATCGAGTCGAATCGTCAATTTGCATTTACACGTTTCTCGTATATAGGTACCCTGTGGTATCATTCTCTGTTAATTGTTTTTTTTTAATTGGTGTATAAATTATGTGAGGCTGAGTGGCAGTATTATATCAAACAGTTTCCACTCGTCCCTATGTTTTGAATGGAAAAATAAAGGTATAATATACATATTATTATAGATCATACCTAGTTGTAGCTACCTAGAAGATGAGAATTGTATTGTTACAACTACTACAGCCGCTAATATGGAAGTGGTACATATATATATATATATACCTAGTGGATGTGTGTTAGGTATATAAAAGTTATAATAGTACTTATAGACAACAGCCTTATCATTTTTTTTAATTTTTTTTTTTTATTTAGCAATTAACTATAATACAAGATAAGTCAACTAAAACATTATAGTGTTTTAAGTCATATGAGCATACGCATTATGTCTACGTAATTATACTATAGATTTATACAGTCAACTAGATGCACTTCAGATTGTTGATAAAACTTCAAGCAGTATTTTAGGTATTCAATATCATATATTTTGTACTTTTTCAGTGCTTTCAAACACACAGTTGTTAATCTATAATGGACCTTATACAATACGACTGCGCTCCAGAGCGTCCCCTTATAATAGTGACGATACTTTATACCACAGCACTGACGGTGTCTACTTCTAATCAAAATATACTGGTACAGAAATCTACGTGTGACCCATTGATTCCATTTGGTGAATGCCTACTAGGTGAATATGAAGGTCAACACCAAGTAAATTCGAACACCACGTATTTACAATATTCAATTTCTTTCATTGTTGCATTACTAGCAGGTATGTATGCATTAAATTAATTAATTGAAAATTAATAAATTAATCGATTTGCATATTGTATACAATCGTTAAGTCAGATTTTTGGATTATATACAACGGGTATAAAAGGGCAAGGGGAAGTTCGAGTAAAGTTTCTCCAACTATAAAGCATATTAATAATTGATCAAAACTATTCGTACGTATATGTTAAAATTTAAACTTTATGTAGTATTAACTATAATTTTATAAAAATACGTATTTTAAAATAATGTATTTATTATGAGCCCAATTTTAAATTTGATATTATTATTATTTGTGTATATAAATGACATTAATCGTAACATAACCTTATTAGTTATTTATCATTTGTACATAATTTCGTATAGTTACTTAATCCTTAAAAAATGTTTATAAGTAAGTGAGTGCTTCTTAAAGAAATCTATCACGAATACTTTAATTGATAACTATCACAAAGAATAAGTTTAGAACTATATTTTGTATTAGAGATCGAAGTGAGACAAATTATGTACATAAAATACAAATACATTCTACATGAATATATTTTGTCTGATTTTAGATTCTGAGCAGAGCTATGATGCATTGATTTTACAAACATATGTGTGAATTTTTTTTAAGTTTGTGTATACGATAAGTATTTGAAAAATCTTTAATTTTCCTTTTCAAGAGTAGTTTTGGGTACACAATTTGATCTAGTTTGTACTTTAAAGATGTCAAAATTAAAAATTCACAGTCTTTTTTTTTAATCAGAAAAACCAACAATAAGTTAAGAGTAAACGAGAATTTTTACGCAAACCTAAAATTGTTGTTAACATAATTTTTTTGTGACTATCGTTATTTTAAAACTTTTATGTATCTTATTAATTATTATTATTTTATTATGTACATACATTTTATAGTAATAATTGTTTTTTTATATAATCAGAAATATACATTTTTGTATTATTAATATTAAGATTAAATTACTAAAAAGATAATATTTTCAATTTATATCTGTGGAAATGAAAACCAAAAAAAAATTATATCATTATAATTTATAAGATAAACGAATGTCATTGTTGTAATTCGTAATATTTTAAAATTTTATATTAAAATTGACTCTTTATATATTTATTAATACTCATATGTATAACCAATATGTATTTTTTTTTTTAGACATTTTTAATATATTTTGTGTTTGTAGAATAAATTTATGATTATGCATATCATGCAAGATTTACAATCCAAAAACACAACTAAGAAATTTTGAAATAAAGTAAATTTAAAGTAATATACAGTGAAGTGTCGATTATCCACACTACAGACTTAAAAAAAAAAAAATGTATTTATCATATTTTATATTTTTGAATTTTAAATTTAAATTAATTATATCATGAACTTTTAACAAAAATACGTTTTTATTCTATTATATAATATTATATTGTTTTATTACTTATATATAAATTGATTATCCACGCCCTTCTCGGTCTCAACTATTGGTATGGATAATCGACATTAAACTGTACTAGTTATACAATTAATATATTTTATAAAAAATGCATCATTTAATTATTATTTTTTGAATTATCACAATCAATTTTAATTAGTATTGAATGAGGAGTTACACATTTATTTCGATTTAAGATTACTATTAATGTGTTAAGATTAGTTTTACGTTATAGCTCCAACTATTTACCATTTAAAATTATTCATTGTGATGTGTACAGAATATTGCAATATGTTACTCAAATATACTTAAAGGTGAATACGTGTAACTTAAATGTAGACATTTAGCATTTTTCGAAATTCTTTTACATTTTAACTCATAAAAAATACACAAATATACCAAAAAATTAACTTATTATTCATTACCATAACTAAAAAATTATATATTTATTGACTTAAGTTAATTTCAGGAGCATGGAGCGATAGTCATGGTAGAAAACGCAAACCTTTGATTTTCATACCAATTATCGGACAAATTATAACCGACGGATTAAACTTTGTGAATCACTTTTGGTTTTGGCCTTCAGCATTTAATGTAATCTTTACATCAATTATTCCTGGATTGTATGTTGGTCGAAATATGTTTTGGATTGGTGTGATGTCATATGTATCGGAAAATTCAAAATTTGAAGGTAGAACTCTAAAACACGGGATAATTATTACAATATATACCTTTAGTTTGATAATAGGGTGGGGTTTAATAGCAATTTTTAAAAAAAGCACCGATTATTTACATCGGTATTTATTATTTTTGGTACCGATATTGTTTAATTTGTTTGCCATATTGATTGGCTATTTGTATATTGAGGATAATTCTGATACTTATGACAGCAATATTACATGGTTGAGACCACACTCTGTACTCAGAAGTTTCATTGATTTATTTAAAAACAAATTTAAAGGATTTTCTATCATACTAGCAACATTAATAATATGCCAATCAATCATAGTAGCAAGAATAGGAAGTAAGTTTATTATAATATATACTTTATACACATAATACATATTATATAAATGTAGCTGTATAATGTATATTATGTATTATGAATAATAAATATAAATATATTTTTAATATAATTTTTTACCACAATCAATATTTTAGGTGAATATGAAATAATAATGCAGTATATAAGTAAATCATTTATGTGGTACAATGAAGATTATGTTTATTTTAGTGTTATCAAAATGTTGGCAATAATTTTTGGTAATTATGAGTTGTTTTTTTTTTTTTCGTAAACTTACATGTAACGATGGGTTTTAAGAAAAATACATATATCGTGCATAAAAAAAAAAAAAATATTTATATTAATATCTTGTACATTTATAATATTGATTCATAGACAGTATTTAAATTAACAACACGATCTAACAATTAAAGTAAATAAATATTTTTTTAGAAATTTAGATAAATTAATATATTATTTACACTAACTGTTTAATAAAAATTAATATCGCAATAATAAATATAACTTTTAAAGTTTATTCTATAATATTTATAACTTATATCCTATAGACATTTAATACAAATTATTACTTTGTTGAGCTCAATATATGATGTAGGAACGTAATATCTAAGTAATGTTTATTTATTTATTTTTAAACGCTTTTACATTTTACTTACATTTTATAATTTCATAATATTAGTTGTTCATAAAAGCATCAAGCTTTTTTCTATACACTCGACAAAAATTAACAAAATCATATTTTTTTTGCAGCAATTTTAAACATATTATTAAAATTAAAATTTTTTAACGACAAAAATATTAAATAAACGATCAAAATTTTCAGAATAATTTTGAAAAATATGTGTGTACTTTCATATAATATTATGGTTATAATCTATATATATTGTTGTTACTTCCAACTACTTTTATATTTATAAAATCAAAACTATGTATTTTCTTTAGTTTAAAATGTATAAACTTAATTTATTGTAGTATCAATGATAATAAATTATGTACTAATTTTTTTTTTTTCTTAAACGTTTACATCAAAGATTATTTTTAATTATAAATTTTAAATTTATTACAATAATCAACTAGTTATCTATCTAAATGTTTTTTTTTTCAAGAAAAAGTTATTGCTTATGCATAAATACGTCATAGGTGGAGATTGGTTGGGGGGTGATGCTAAGCTCCCCCTCCAAAAAAAAAAAGATCGAAAACTCCACAAAATAATTGAAAATTTTTCAAAGTATTAAATAGGTACCTATTTTGGAACAAAACAAAGAAAAGTTTTCTTCCCTCTTCCTAAAATTCAACAAATATCCATCACCTACGTAATAATATGCATTATTTAAATTTGTGCATTTAAGATATATGTTTATTTTATTTATTAAAATATATTAATTTCATTTCAGGTACTATGTTTTCAGTATTTTTATTGAGTTACCATATGAAAATAAACGATCTTGTTATTGGAATTGCAGCTTGCATTATTTATATCATTGCTGCAGTTTTATACGTTATTTCAAATCAATTATGGAAAATTTTTATTAGTAAGTATTATAATAAGTAATAACTTATACTTTAATTTCATAATTTTTATTGATATTTTCAAAATATCTACATAATATTGTATTGTGTTTAAATAATATATCATATTCTTTTTATAGTTGCTGTGGTGTATTTAGGTCACGGTAGTGTTGTAACTATTACAAGTTCATTAACATCTAAAATGATAGATAACAATCAGCTTGGTATGGATATTACTTTATTTTAAAATTCATAAATTATTAGAAAACTGAAAAAATTATTATTTTATTGTAAGGGCGATTTTATTCTATTCAAACCTGTATGAACTCTGCCTCGACATTTTGTTTAATTACTGTATACAAGATCGTAACTAAAACTGATAACATGTTTTCTACTGAATTTGGTCATTTTTGTTTAATGATTTTTATGTATGTCATTCTAACTATACCTATTTTATTTGTGTTTATGTGAGTATTACTTCATTCAAAAACTAAGATTTTTGACTAATAAATATTAATTCACTAATTTTTAGAACTGTATATTCTAAGTACAAAAACTTCTGGATAAGGGATACTGCAAGAACAAGACGACAGGCTATATATGATATAAATACTTAATTTATTTATTTTATAATTAATAATGTAATAATTTATATAAGATTATGAATAAGTTTTTATGGTACTATATTATATTTTATTTATTAGTTTGTTTTTTCAAAAGGTATTTCTATTTTATTTTATTATTAAATTATTATTGTTTAAATATTTTTACATTATTAACAAGTTATATAATAATGCATAATATACAAAGTGAAGTCATATAAGGTAATTAGAATAAATGTATCTTTTAATACACTTTTTTCTTTTTAATGTAAAATACTTTAATAACATAGATAAATATATAAGAAAAGTGTTATTGAATATGTTTTGTATTAAAAATATTTTTTAGAATATATATTTAATGAATATATTTTTATCTGTATATTCAGAATACAAAATTATTTATTTTTTTTTTTTTTAAATATTGAATCTACCAATAAATCTTCGGTTTTATTACATAGGATTAGTAAGGTTCTTATTTCTTAATCAATTAATTTAAATTTATCATTTTTTATACTATAGAATGGTTATTGAACAACATTTTTTTATACGTAGTACCTAAATGTTGCATATTGTTAATTGAAAATGGTGTTGTTATTCATCGGTGTGAATGTAATTGTATTATTTCTTTTATATATGTATTTTATTCAAAAGAAAATACCTAATTATGAAACAAGAAAAAAAAAAAAAAACTAAATCAATAATGTAACAAAATGTGTATAAGCTACTGAATAATTTGTATGTAAGTATCGACCGATATTTTACATTATGTAAAGATTTCATGTTAAAAAAAATTAAATGTTTATAAATTTACACCATATAATATAGTATTCTGTTAAAAGAAATTAACTTGAGTTAATTAAAATTCTAAAAATGTTAAGGTGTGTTAACGTTTAAAACCTTTTTTTTATTTAAATATCTATGTTTAGTTGGAGTAGAACTTTTATTACATATAATATTTGATTACATATTTTAAATTATTTTAAAAACTTAATTTAAAATATAAAATACTCTGTGAATATTTCATTTAAATAAATGATTATTTTATACATTGGAAATTTATATATATAAACATTATTTTTATTTTTTGTATAATTTTATACTAAATCGCAATATTTTTTTAAAAACTTAATTATATATGAAAATCATTATTAAATTTTATATATGTTACAGACTAACGAATTATCATAATATTTTATAAATTTAAATATGTTAATTTCATGATAAACGTTAATATTTAAACAATCTAAGGTTTCATAAAAAAAAAAAAAAAAAACATTATGAATCACATTTTATCATATTAATCTCGTGATTTATTTGAAGAGTTGTTTATCGTAATAGAAATATTAATTAACTTTATAAAATCTTGATTATTTATTCAATTTTAATTAAAGTGCTTTTCACATTACGAATAATGGTTTAGCTACGAGTATACTGCATTTACAGTAAAAATATTACCTACAAGAAGGTAATCGACCAAATTGTAGTACCTCTGATCTAAGGAAAAAGAAATGAGTAACATCATTTATAAAAAAGTTCAAGGAAAATCATATTCAGAAATTTATAAATTTGAATTTCATGTTGGTTTACGTTTTAGAACTATATAATTGTATTAAATTTTTACAAATATGCTTTTGTTATTATGAAATATATTGACTCTTTAATTCACTGTGAATATCGTAACTATATTTATCCTGAGCAATGCAATAGTGTGTGTGTGTGTGTGTGTTCATTGATTGAACGTCATTTACAAATATATTATATAGTAATAAATGAGTTTGTCGAGTTAATTGGTGAAAATGACGAATTTGAATAAAGTTCAAGGCTCCAAATAAAGTTTTGTATAAATATTTATTCAGTTAGATTTATTTTTATTCATATATATTAATTTTTAATCACAAAAAGAGATCTGTTTTAACTTTAAATACATTCTTTTCTAAGGATACAATTTGAAACAGATGAAAGCTCAAAGTACAGATGAACTATAATCACTAATACCTCTCACTCATTTTATAGTTCGACATGTGTTTAAATATATGCTTTTTTTCAAAATAAATTTATTAAAAAATAAATAAGTAGTCATTGAATACACTCAAGTATACCAATAACACCAATATTTATTGGTCCATAACTATAGAAATCGAATTGAAAAATCTCGAAAATTCAATTGAAACAAATAGCGTTAATGGTATAATATTATTATTTTTTATCATTATAATTTAAAAAATACGTATAACATACTTAAACCTACAGTAGGTTCGAGAAATACGTATTTGAATCCATCTCTTAAAAAAACCTGTTTTATTTTGATTTTGTACAACCAGGTACATTATAAATATTAACTGCCACACTAACACAGTTTTTTATTTAGATAATCGACTATCATAACTTTCACAATTATTACGCCATCAGTTAGTAAATACTACAGGTTGAATCTCATATAGGCTACTCATAATTTATTTTTTATGAATACAAATCTACTCGAATAGTTATTAATATAGGTATAAATAATTATTGAAATGCTTCACGATTCAATGTGCGTAGAAATTATTACCTAATGAGCAGCTTCTAAATTTATCCCTGATGAATCCAGTTTGATTGTTTGATAGAACGATGGTGTTGGTCAAAATTTAGTTATTAAATGATAATATTAAACATATGCTACTTTTCTGTACAACTATAAACTATTAAACGTGGAACAAAACCGTCATGTCTATAACGATACTCATTTATTATATGTAATTATAAGTAATTATATTAATATAAGGCGTGTGACGTTTATCCCCATTGATTTTTCATCGGAACACAAGAGTAATATGATTTATTCAGTAACACCTAGACAGTATACGGTTTATGGCTACCCTTATTGGCCACTATGATTAAAACCATTATTAGTTATTGATAATTATTTAAAATTCACGCAATGAATAATTCTAAATCTATGCTAGTCTTTTTTGTTACCTTATGAAAAGAATTAAGTTCAGTAATCATTTGTTTTACGTATATTGTTTACTACCTTTTTAATTAATAGCTTATATTATATTATGTTTATTGTATGAGAGCTACCACAAAACTTTAAGTGTAAAATAACAAAAATATAATTAAACAGTTATGTATCGTAAAAAATGTTTATAACATTTTTATACTTTTAAATATTTTTATATAATATTGATATAAAACTTAAAATCTGCAATTGTTCTCCAAATGTGTTATAAAAACATTTTTTTTTTTTTTAAACTTTTATGATAATCTTATTTGTTTAAAATATACAAAATAAAACCTTATATTTAAAATAGTATTTTGTAACCCGTTCATTAGCTATTAGTATTTATTAATAATCATGAATGATGAATAAGGTTTATGATGCACTTTTAATTTCATTGAATTCACGAGATAAAATCATGGTAATAGCCAAAATGGTATTATCTATATTATTAAATAACAATGTTTTTGCGTGTGTAACTGTGTAAGCTATTTACAGCCAAGTCTAATTATGGTTATACTATTTCGTACATAGATAGTCTTAGCTTTATCCGAAAAAATTGAGTAATTCAAAGCTAACTTTTTAAATTATGTATTTTAAAGAAGGGCTCACATGGGGTTAAGTTGGATCACGAAAAAACAAATATTTTTTGTTTTTATAAAATTAGTTAAATAAAATAAAATAGTCAATAGCTGTATATAGTTTTAGATTTGCGTTAAATTTTTGATCAAAACCACTCAAATTATTTTGTGTTGAAAAATATAATATTTAATATGCGCTCAATGGATTTGAATGTAGGGTAAATAAACTGGTGCTATTTAATTTTGGCATCCAGACTATTTGATTTTATATACCATGAAATGAGATAATATTATAACACATCATTATAAAATATTATAAAATACCAATAATGTAATTAATTAATCATTTTATATTTATTATACAAAATCAACTAGAAAATATCCACATAACACAAAATGATAATTAAAAATGTGTGAGAATCATATAATACGTATATAACGTTTAAGAAATATATCTTATAATAATAAAAAAAAAAGTTAAAAATTAAAATGATCATTTTAAAATTTCCAAAATCATCAAAATGTTGATAATTTGTATTAATCAATCAATCAACAAATTTGTAGTATTAAAGGAGCATCCACGAGATGTTAAGTTTATATAATTGATGTTCCTACACTCACCGGCGGGGTAAGGGAATAAAGTGCGTTAATAATTTTGTCACGCCTTCATATCATCCTAATGCGTTGATCAAATATCACGATATCATTATTATAAAAAGTTATTGATATCATAGCTATGAGACCTAACTTATAGGATGACTTACCAAGCATAATAATTTTTTAACCCTATTTTTTTTTTTGTTCATGAATTTAAACTATTGTTTTTAGAATATGTAAATTTTACTTATTGACCATAATTTTTTAAATAGCTACATCGTTTTTTTAATACTATTTAAGAAGTATTTTATACGAACTTAATTTTTTCAAATGAGTTCTATTTCTTTTAATTTTCTAAAAAATTAAAAATGCGTGTAATATTTCATAAAATAGGCACTCATAATGTTCAGACAACTTTTAAAAATCATAAAATGTTTTTAATCAATTATGCCATTATTTTCAAATTATCACAATCCTCTGTATTCCCATTAACCTATTATCCTTATTAAATAAAAGTCGAACAGTTCGAAAATTACGCGTTTGGATTTGAATCCACTGACATCGGCAGAAATTCCATAAAACCCATCTGTTCGACGAATTGCCGGGAAAAACACGAAGAGAGATCGCCGCCGTACGAAGAATAGGAATGGGTATACACCTATTTAGCCGCAGCCGGGACACCGGACTGAAGCGATAATGAAATCTAAGCATCTCGAGAATAAAATATATACCTATACGATATATTTGTCGTCGAAGGCGAAAAAATCGGAGCGAACGCGTTTGGGAACGGACGAGGTGCCCATACCGTATAGACTCGTCGCAATGCGTACGTTACTGCAGTAGTACGCAGATCGTGTGGGTGGGAGAGGAAAACTTTGGCCGGCTGCGGCGGCGACGGCGACGACGATGACAGTCAACGACCGTTGTTTGCGTCGAACGACGACAAATGAGCAACAAAAACCGACTGTCGACGTGCACCGTAATAATGAATAACAATAATAATAATAATAATAAATAATTATTATTATTATTATTACTGTGATTTGTAGGCGATAAGCGATCGTTTCTTCCGATCGGCCGAAAAATCATCGCCGCCGTCGCGCCGCCGCCGCCGAACACTCGACCACGTGCGCCGCGCGTCCCGGGCGGGTAGCTGGTTTACTCTCTCGGCGATCGCCGCGCAGGACGAACGGCAGGATCGGCCATGGACTTTTACGTAGAAATCGTCACGCTCCTGTATTCCGCGTCGCTGGCCATGTCCGCGTTCTTCCAGAACAACCTGTTGCTGCGGAAGGCGTGCAACTCGTCCGTGCCGTTCGGCGAATGCACCGACGGCGAGGCGAACGCCCAGCACGTCGTGTCCACCATCTACTCGTGGAAAGCGGGCGTGCAGTACACCATTCCCATCGTGTTGATCATGCTCGCGGGTAAGTCGGCGCCGCCGTCGCGATGATGTTACGTGGGTATCGATGTACGCATGTGCTTAGACGCCGCCTACTCGTTCGCAATAATAATAATAATAATAACAACAACGTGCACAAGCAATGCGTTTGGTACGCAACAAATAGTATATACGTATAGATGATAGGTAGTTGAGTAATAGGTACAACCGCAATAGTCACCCGATAATAATATTACAATAAATACTGTATTTACTAGTGTTAAGCTTCAAACACGTATGATTATAATTAAATTGATAATGACTATTAAACCAAAAAACAAATATTCAGTAAAAATGTTGACAATAACATTATTAACATGACGGGTGGGCTTGTATATTTTTACACAATAAATTTGCGTGCAGTGTGATATTTGAGACTGTAATGCATAAGTTCGCTTCTATACATTTTATCTACTGTGATTAAACATATTTAATAACTAAATAATCGACCTCATTTAATTTTGAGTAGAAAATGATAATGATTTTTTTTTTTTTCATAAACACTTAAAGCTTAAATAAAATAAATATTTCGCAGAACAGTCCCTCCCTCACCTGTAATATAACCACCCACGGACTCAAATTCGAGAAGCTCTGGTATATAACATATCGGCACGATCAAAAACTCCAAAATGTCTGTGTTTCTAATCCAAGCATTTTTTATCGCTATCATATACGTTTACAAATGGTATACCTGTGTATAATACCTATATTAAAATAGAATACAGTTATAGTTATCCTAATATTTGTTGACTTCTTCATGTCTGTCGTAGTCGATCATTGCCACGCGTAGCCTTCCTATCTATACCGACAACGATTCGATGGTTGTTTTTCTATAATTATCATCTACAATAACTGTCACCTAGCTGTATAGTAGTGTCACCAACAGAATTTACCATTTGAACTTTGAATTCGAAATGCGCACGCAGGTTCGTCGTAATTTGGGTATTTGCGATACAGTGTTCTGTTTACGGTTTTGATTACCTCCCCATTATTTGGCTCTTATTACCGTCGTCGATTTTGTTTTTCGTAGACTTTAAAAAATACAATATTATGTAAGTATTAAAATAACTTACATATTGCACTATAGAACGTTATTACGCGATTTTCAATAAGTAAGTTTATCCCAAAAATTCTATAGGTACTGAAATTGTTAAATCGGAAATATGTAAATAAGAGTTGAAACATTACACTTATATACCTATTTAAATATATTTAAATTATTGATTTACCCAAATACTAAAATACTTACGTTATTAATTATTATTTCTGAGAAAAAAATCAATGATTAAAAATAATTAGTTACGTATTAAAATACTTCTTATCGAGTGAAGTATACTTTGTTTAACTTAATGTACGCTTTACATTATTTAGTAGATATTAGTTTTTTAATTTAAAAATTAAAATTAATAGATAATAGGTTGATATTGTTGTGCTAATTGTTTTTAATATTTTTTCGTTGGATGAAGGTACTTTTAAGCTATTACATGATAATTATTTTAGCCACTTTAATTACAAAAATACCATTTGACATTTATCGATATTCAATATTCAATATAGTGCATACTAAATTTATTAAACCAAAATATAAACTAATAAGAATACCTATAAGAAATGATAATGTATAATATATTATTTTAGGTGTGTTTATAAATTATATGCACACTTTACAGTTATACATGAATAGATAGATAGAATTGCCTGCTTAAATGTACTCCTTAAATTTATTAAATTTATTGGCTATTTAAATAATAATTGAAAGCCATAATTTTTAATATTAAATCTATTTTGAAATTGATACTTTCTGGTTATTGATTTAAGAAATACTAGCAAAGTAAAGTGTGCCTTTAAAGCTGTTGTAAACAATATGTGATTTGTGAGAATAATATTTATATTTTCTAGTGGGCAGTGACTATTAGGTAGCTTAGTTAAATTTAAATAAAATGTATTATGTTATTTTGAAATAATAAACAAATGTAATTAAGTTTTTCGAAATTCTTACTGAATTTTAAGACATATTATATTAATTGATTAATTGAGTGATTAATATAAAAAGTAAAATTAGGCTTAAATCAATAAACTGTTATAATTTTAATAACACATATTGCATTTAACTTTAAAAATTAATACTATAATATTTTATAGGTAATGAACAGAAATATGTTTTGAATGTTTAGAGTAGTTCAAAGGTTATTTTCCGATATTTTCGGTATACAATACTTGAGTTTAAATAAAACGTTATCATTGATTTAAGTTATTTTAAATTAATTAAGAAGGTCTTATTACTTAATATTATTATCAATGTTTTTGATTTATAGTTATAAACATTATAAAATGTAAACTATACAATTTCTATAATGCATGTATAGCTTGTGTTTTAGTTTATGTGTATAATAAATATATTTGTTTATATTTTTCATATTCACGTATGTATTATAATCGATGTATAATTGTGAATTAATATTATATAAATAAATTTCTTTCAGGTCCATGGAGTGATAGCCATGGCAGACGCCGTAAACCATTAATTTTACTACCACTTATAGGTCAGATATTAACTGATAGTTTATGCATATTAAATGTTTATTTTTGGAATTGGTCTCCACAAATCGCTGCAATTTTTGAAGCCATAACACCAGGGCTTTTTGGAGCTCGAAATATGTTCTGGGTAGGTGTGATATCGTATATATCAGATAATTGTACAAATGAATCCAGAACATTGAAATACGGAATAATAAATGCAATTTATACTATTAGTACTTTAATTGGAACAGGACTAGCAGGGTTTTTAAATATTGGACTAGGATTTTATGGAGCCTTTTTGGTACCTATTTCGTTAAATTTAATTGCTTTTATGGTTAGCTCAATATTTATTAAAGACACTTCTAAGCCTTACGATAAAAATGTTGTTTGGCTAAAACCAAAACATTTTATGCAAAATTATTTGAGTGTATTTAAAGGAGGCGATAAAAATTATTCAATCACGTTATTCGCATTACTAATGTGTCAAGCTGTTTTAGTGGGCAGAATTGGAGGTAAGTTTTTATATTTAAATAATATGTAATAAATATTAATAATATTATATCAAAAAAAAAAAAAAAAAAACATTTGATCCAAACACTTATAAATTTCAAAATAATTTTTTTAATTCATCTTATTATATTTACTATAGCTATTATAGGTACATATTTTGTAATAAGTATTTTTTAATGATATTTTAGTTAAATAAGTACCACGTAAATACATGTCTATACATTTTTTTTTTTGCAATTCTTTGAGTTAAAAAAAAAAGAAATAATTTAATTTTAATAGTATATTAAATTATACATATTTCGATACACATTTAATTCTTTTATAAGTGTTATATTAATTTTTATTTCTAAGTCTATAATATATTGAACCTTAAGATAAAACAGTTAATATTTAAAAAATGATAAGTATTTATATGTTATTAAATAAATATAAAATCATGAATCATAAAATAAATAATATTTTGTACCCTATTCAATATATAATACAATTCAACAAATATGTTTTAATTCTTATTTCATTATGAATAATAATACTATCAAGAAGAATAGTTTTAAAATTACATTAGGTATTTATTAGAAAATTATTAACAAAAAGTTATAAAAGTAGTAAAAATTAAAAATTAACTTTAAAATTGAAATTTTGTTTATTATTCAAACTATTATTAAGGATATCAGTCTTCGTATTAATTTATTGTGAAATATAATATGAGCAAAGTTAATTATTTTTATAAATTAAAATTTATTATAATATTTATTATTTGTTATAAGAAAAAAAATACCAGTAAAATCAATACAGAGTGATTCAAAAGTCTTCACCCGATTACGAATTTATATAGCTTAATTACAGTAAATTGCTGGTTAACGACGTGTATACCATTGTATAGATGAAATAGTTAAGTTTAATTTTATTTTATTTGCTAATGCACGTGTATTATGAGTTGTAAACATTTGTAATGATAAGTAAACAGCTGTCAGTTAGTGTCGAGATAGGCAAATAAAAAAAAAATACCGTATGAGGTGTATGACCATTGCAGGGGTCATATTGAACATTTTAAACAGACTATATTAAAATTTGATTATATTTTAATTCATCCTACCATTATTTTAAAATACATATGAACGGTTGTGATTGGGAGAAGACTTTTGAATCACTATAAAATGGTAATTCAGTTAAAAAAAAGAACAAAGAATAGTCATATAGAAAAATACGGACTTATACTTTGTGTGTCTACTTAGTATAAATTGGAATCAAATCTTTCTTGTACACTTGGATCAGAACTTTTAAGGTGTTATTCTTTAGTTTCCTGAATATTTTCCATGTTAAAAATATTTATTAATTTCAATCCAATTTATTTTGAACCCTTCAAATTAATGTAATTATCATAATTTAGTTTAAATTAAATTTTTAATGTTTCAGGGGAATATGCTGTTACATATTTATTTATGAGATATAAATTTAAATGGTATGAAGTACAATACAGTTATTTTGCTGCCTACAAAATGTTGACGATTTTTGTTGGTAAGTAATAATTAATTTAGTAAAATAACTAAAACGTAGTACATAGTAATGTACGTGTATACCAATAATAATAAATAATATCATGTTTTCATAAAGTTATGTTTAAAATAATTATATAATACATTTACAATAATAAAGTGATCAGTTAAAAATGTCGCACCCATATCGCGTAATTGTACGTCTCGCGAAGTGGAAACACCTTTTTTCCACTTCGCGTAATTCCGCTATATGGACAACATTACACGAAATGAATACCTAAACTTCACATAACGAAACTAGAGCTGTTATCTGGAAGAACACTTAGCGTAACAATGTTTGTAATAATTATATTTTTTATTATTTTGAACATTGTACAGAATTATAAATATTAGTTATGAATATCGTAATGAATTAATAATTATGAAAATTATGTATTATTATGAAAACGACTAACCACGAATACGTATAATGAATTATAAAAATTATTTACTATAAATAAAATGAAATATCAAAATTATGAATTTTGATCTATTTATATTAGTTATTTGTTTAAAACATACAATAGAATTATTATGATATCGAGAGTTGAATTTTAAATTGGCCTTAAAACAAGCATATTTTTTTGTTTAGCATTTACTTTTACAACAGCTACTAAAACAACCTTGTCCTCCTGTTAATGAATAAACAGTTTGTTTAAACGTTTTATCGAATATATGTTTTTTTCTTGCTTTAATTTGATAAAATTCTAAGAAGCTGGTTGTAAACTCCCTGCACCATATCAAACTTTAATAATTCCGTGTTCGTTTTATAATTGGTTCATATAATTTTTTTAATCAACCATTACTCCAATGATGTTCACTGAATCCGACGGATCTCTATCAATTTTGTAGGTACTTAAATTATCTCACAGTCTCCAATTTTAAATTTAGGTAGTTAAATGCTTTCATTTAGTTTAAATAATCGTGTAATATTATTATGAATAAATAACTAGGATACTAGGTAATTAAGAACTGTAAGATAGGTAACAAAATAATTTCTCTACCGAAGACACGTAGGTACGTTACATTAGCACCACAAAATTCGAAAATAGTAAAATAAATTCTTCTAACAGTTGTTATTTCATTTGTAAACTGTACACCTCTCCAAACAACTCAAAATCAATTTTTTTCTCCAACAGTGCTAATGTAACGTTACACCACCTCCCTGTTTTTTGTTCAATCAAGTTATCGACTCCGAAATGGTGCTAACAATTGTTATTCCATTTGTACACATTCATAATATATATTATTTTTTTTGTTTTATGTCATTATGTGTATAAAATAAAATAATATATGTTAAAAGTTTGAAGTATTCAAAAAAAAAAAAAAAAAAAAAAATGTAATCATAACAAAATAATTTAAGTCATTAATTTTCTTTGTTTAAATATCTAATTTCATACATATTTTAACATAAAATATGTATACAAAAAAAAATTTGTTTGTGTACATTTTTTAAATTTTTTAACTACAATATGATCTACTTAAAGCAATACTTGTATTATATTTTATAATTTTAGAATTAAATATTGAACATTTTACGAATTCTTAACATTAAAGAATTCGTAACATTTCTAGGTTTTGATGAAATCTGTTAAAATTCTATCTTTAAGGATTAATAAAAAATAAAAATATTTAAGTATTGACTTCCTAAACTAAAGTACCAACTAGATTCAATTTGCTTTCAGAAAATGTCCTCTAAGTTTAAAATTTTAAAAAAAATGTATAGCCCAAAAACTGATAACATACAAAAAATAACAATAAAAAATAAAAAAACACATATAATCAAATAAATACATTTATTGCTTCATTCGGAATTTAAAAATGTACGTATTAGATAAATTTGAACTAAACTACTATAGTTATAGAAAATAGAATTAAAGTATCATCGTAGTAGTACCCCTATCTCATGTACACAATGCATTAAAAAATTGTTTTTATTACTATACTCGTAAAAACAATTTAATTATTTTTTTTTAAATTAATTATAGTTTGATCTTAAATTTTTAAATTCTCCCTTGAAATCCTTTTAAAAATATGAATTTATCTGATTCTAAATTTTATTTCATATTATTTTTATATAATTGTATTTCATGTCAGATATAAGTTACACTCTGTAATTATTATGAAATTGATTATTTTGTCTATTTTTCAGAGCCAATGATAGTGCAAATTAATTATTAATTAATTAAACTTCACATGTTTATTCGATTTATACGATTTATTTAAAACTATTAAATTGAACGTCTTTTAAATTTAACTATAACACATTAAAATACAACACATTGTTTATTACGAGTAAATACAATGATACATAGGTAAAATTATAAAAACCTTGTTATTTTCTGAAAACAATGAAACTTTTTTAATTATTTCCATATTGGTGTATATAATTAAAGGCTGAGTTTTTGTGTGCACAAGTTAGTAGATTACAAAATAGTTAAATTGACTAATCTAGGTTTTTGCTGATATTTAATTAGGTGTTTCAGATTATTTTTTCATTAGTCGTTGTTATGAGATATTTATTGTTTTAGTTTATTTACAACTCGAGAAGTATCGATATAGCTATTTATACATGATAATATACATTATATATATGTCAATATGTCAATAATCTATGTATTATAAAATTCTTATTTTCTAAATATTCATAATTTATTGATGAACAAAAGAAACAAATATTATTCAAAATATTATAAGACACATATATATGTCTTAAAGTAATAAAAAATAAAAAACGAATTTACCTGATACGTTATAAATCTGTATTATGATTATTGACTTTTATTATCATTAATCAGGCAACGCAATATTAATTATTATGAGTAAATACTCTATCCAATGAAAGAACATGCCAATTCTGTTCATCCCAATCGATATCGATCCCACTATAGTGGGGATATATGGGGAATGGGGATACAAAGAAGAACCGATTTTCGTTGGGTCGTGATATATTTTCCCGCTAGACATGGTAAAAGTATAAATATTCGATAACGATAAAACATAAACACATCTAAAAATTGTAAATGTTAATTAAGCAGTAACTCGGGTATAGAATACCAAAACCTAGGACGCAATCTAGATTAGACTTTATTCGTAGTTATCTTCGGGACGCAACTAGTAGGTATGCACTATGCAACAATCATTTAGAATTTACTACTTTTACTACATATCACCTCATGTTTTTGTTCATCTTATAGTAACCCTAAAAGTTATTGGGTGAAAAATGAACTAGGACGTATTTAAGTAACGTAAAGATTACAACACTACATAGGTACGTCAAAAAACTATTTTTTCTTGAGACACACTGAGATGATAAATCATTTTGGACGCACTCGGTACATTAAATATTGATAATTTTTGGACGCAATCGGGAAACTCTTTTAAATAGCTTCTAGTTATGTGTCTAAAATGTTAGTAATATCTCAACTAGTATAATATAAGGTTATTATATATTATACTATCACTCGTAAAAATAAACACAAATTACAAATATTTTTATTATGTGGATATCTTCTTATGTAGTGTATAAACACATTTTTAATTTTGAAAATTATATCAATGTTTTAGCGAACAAAGTATATGCATTTTAGTCGAGACCTGTATTTATTTTAAAAATATTAATATATGGATAAAATGTTTCATGAAATTAAAAATAATCAACACATTTTTTAAAACTACAGTGACTGACCTCGCGAAAAAAACTAATTATAAATAACTGCACACATCCTATTTCGTCGAAATACTAATTTATCAGGAAAATATGTATACAAGGAAATTAATTTATCACAAACAGTTTAAGAAAGAAATACAACGAATTCTTATTTTTTATTTTTTTGTTTTGAGTATTTAGTATTTACCGCTATATGCTATTAACATTTTCTACGTTAATCAGTTTTAAATAATTTATTATAATATAACAAAATATGATACGAAGAATTAAATAATTAATGCATTTGTTCATAAACTAATAAAAAACTTAATTACTGTAGATATTTTCTAAGATATTATCTTGCTCGTCACGAAATATTTTTTTATCTGTATAAATTACATAACAGACTTGTCAGAAATAAAATAGTAGTATCACGACGAAAAAAAATGTTTATTATAAATTGTTATATTTTAATGGTAAAAGAAAAAAATATATAATATAACGTTTTCGAGTTATTGTAATTTATAACAATGTATTTAAGTTAAACTTTTATGAATTATATTATATTCATTTCACTTTTTCAAGCTAGGTAAGCTTTATGCATTTACTAATTATTATATATAATTAACTAACCATATGAGTATTATAATAATACACATTATCGTCCAATAGACAATACGTAGTTAGTTCAATAATTTAGAATCTCCAATACTTGCTTGGTTTTATTATTTAAAAGCAGTCAATATGCTTGGTACATTTATTTCGATTTCAAATATAGCATAAAATATAGCTAATAGATAAACTTTATTATTTGATTCGTATTATTGCATAAAAATGTGTTATATTTTGGTCATCTTGGTAATTATTTATTTTTATTTTTTTATTGAAACTCTGTATTACAAATTAGTCTCGAAAATTAAGTTACTTTTGCAATTTAATCAATTAAAAATGAAAATAAATCGGTATAGGTGTAATAACGGTCATCAGACTATTCAACTATAGTGCTGTGTAATTATTATTATCTTGTTTATTTATTTATCATAATTAATCATTAATCTGAATTTCATTCTAGGTACTTTGTTTTCTGTTACTGTGTTAAGTTATCGTCTAAAATTAAACGATGCAATTATAGGTTATATTGCATGTACTTTCGATATTCTTGCCGCAGTGTGTTATGTTCTTGTATATGAGCCTTGGCAACTATATTTAAGTAAGTATAAAAATAATCAATCATAATGAATAATATAACCAAGTATTTTACATCATAATAATAATTATAAAAATTATTACTTATAGTTCCAATGGTTGACTTTTTCCATGGAACCGCACTTACTATTTCTACTTCGTTGACATCTAAAATTGTAGATAACGAAAAACTTGGTAAGTTTATCTATACATTGTATTACCATATTTTAACTTTTTTTGTATTTAACGTTTTTAATTTAATTTTAATATTGCATTTATTATTATTTACATATATTAGGTCGATTAAACTCCGTTCAAGCACTAATGAGCACAATTATGTCATTTGTTGTAGTCTCAATATATAGTGCGACGTATAATTTAACATTTGAATATTTACCTGGTGCTGTATTTCTGTTAAATATAATTTTAACTTTTCCTTTATTAATTATATTTATGTAAGTTATATAATATATATTATATAAATGATAAAAAAATGATAAATTTATATTTTTTTAAATTTTTCAGGATTATTTACTGTAAATGCAAATACATGTGGACACCAAAAGAAATAACACAGTCTTAATGAAGGTTTTAGGTATAGTTTTTAAATTTCTATTGTAAATTACGGTAAGACAGTGTATATTGTATCATTAATATTATTATCGCTTATTCTAATGACATTTTTAAAAGTTAATTAAACTTGTAAAGTATTATTAAATATATTTATTTCATCAGTAAAAATAAAAATACACTGCTTAAAAAATGTTACCTTTCCGAAGATTAAAAGGTTTCAATATGCAACTACCAAATATTTGAGGTCATCACAAATACATGTGGATAAATCTCTAAATTAATGTGTAGACCTGAATGAATATCAATTATTTTCCATGGAAAAACTTCATCCACGACCACTACATTTTTTCATTAACGAATAAAACAACAGATATTTTTATTGATAAAACGGTATACTTGAGTCTACCAGTTGCAAACGTTTCAGTAACTACTCTTTGTTTTAAAATTATATTAAATAATTAAGCAGTAAATAGCAATGAAATTATATTTAATTTTGAAAACTTAAAATTTTATAAAATATGGGCTATTGACAATTAAATGTATTATGAAAACTTTTTAATTTCAAGTTTTTTTTTTTTATTAAGTCCTTAATTAAATTTGAAAATTCCAGAAACCAATATTTGAATAGCTTTAAAAGAATAAATTTGAATGAATATTTTCAGTAAATCATCATATACATCAAGTGATAGCTGAAAAAAAATTTTAAAATTTGTTAATTGTCAAAATATATGATATTATTTTGTGGTTGACGTCTATATAATATATGCAGGTATTCGTCATACCTATACATCATACATCTGTGGAGTTATTAAATCTTAAACAATAACCAAAAATATATAATTAGAGTTAAAAGTTTCATATTCTTTTAAATACTTAAGAAGTAGTATTCACTATACACATAAACGATCAGGTACCTTCTATACTTAAATTGAGAGTTAAACCTCTTATTTAATATATATTTTATTAGGATATAATGTTTAAAAGTATTAACTATATCTATCTACTTCAAAAATGTAATTGTATATAAATTGGTATCTTTATACTGATCTTCAAATTTATGTCTTAAAATACATAATTTTTCTTTTTGAATTTGAGCGAAAAATAAAGTTTTATGAAAAACTGTTATGTACCAATCACAATTTCTGAACTTTACATTGATCAAACATTTGAACTAAATGTAAACAATGAAATAAGTTTAACGCGTAAATTTATTTTCTCTTTGTGTGCACGAAATATTTGTTTCACGGATACTAGTTAAAATGTATTTTAAGTGTGATTTAGTAAAATAAGGCACGGATTATAAGAGTAGCAAAAGTCCAAAGTCACTATGATTACTAAAGTGAACTCTTTTGTCAGCATTTAAATTTTTCAAAAATATTTTCTGATTTATAAAAAGTATGTTATTATTCAATATTATACTTAACTAATTTAGTAGTGTGGACGTTTTTGAATCAATACTAGTTAATAATTAATAGTTCTATTATTTTCCTATATGATAGTATAGTTGAAAAAAATAAAAATAAAACTATAAAAATTGTATAGTTAAATCTTTTTAAATAGTAGGTATAAGAACTCAGTGTTTCCTTAAACTTTCGTCATCATTCAGAGGAATAATAGTTTTAATTTAAATTTAATATAAATCATAATTGAACAATATCTAACAAATTTACCATTCCCCAAGGCACTGTCACGCATTGTAACCTTTGAATTAAAATAAGATAAACTCACTATACCAGCTAACAATACTTAAAAATCGGAATAAACTATATCACCCACTATGATAATTAACATCTAAGTAATCAAAACTACGTTTATAAAGCAAATAATATTAATAATTTTCAATTTCAATCTAAAAACAATAAACAGTCATTATCTCCATCGCTAAAAAATTCTAACCTTTAGTGCCACTATTTCAAAAAAAAAAAAAAAAAAAATAAGAAAATATTTAATCTTCCCTAATTGATACCTCGCTGATCTTATCAAGCATGCTACTGCTTCTACTAATTTAAACAATAATAAACAATATTTATGATAAGCAAAGCCAGAGGTCACAACTATTTTTCCCACATACACGGAGAAAAAGATTTACCACTGCTATTATTCATTAAAGAACTAATAAACTTTTTGAATAGGGAAATGCATTCTCAGATTTAATTCGTCCCGGAAATTTTAGTTGTTAATTGACTTTCACCTATTTTAAACATCAACCAAATGCTCCATAAATCTACAGAAAAATAATTAATTTTCTAAATGAAAACTATACTGAAATTCACACATACAAGTATCAATTATAATCTAACAAAGCATTTAAAGTAATAATAAGGTATACCCATCCGTCGACTCTTGTTTTTAAAATTAGTTTAGCATTAGAAGAAATTGTCAATTGATAATTTCGCTAGGAAAGTAACTAATATCCTGCACTATTAAACTGCTAAATGAATCAATGGAAACAATAATGGTGTTTTTAATATAAATGTAACACTTCATACCAAAGTAAAAATATAAGAGCCACACAATCCACAAAAAAATTTCTCAATGCATAAAGTAATTGGATCACTTTGAAAGCTATTGATTCCATTCTTCTCGATGTATCATATGCGGTGGAAATAATCTAATAGCATCGTGTACCAAAGCACGGGAGTCTTCTGCCATTTGTGCGCAAATTGCGCAATGGCAATCAATCTGCTAACTACAATGGATACACTATTTATAAATAAGTTCAACCACAATGCAGATATCTCTACAATTCAAAGTAAGCCTTATAATAACACAAACAGCGATTTCAATATGGAAATGCTAATCTTATTACTCAGCTCTCATCCAAAACCGATCAAGGTAATCATCAAAAGAGACTAGACAGTAGTATTTTCAAAATTTAAAAAAACTAAAAAAACAACATTTTTGAGAAACTTGTCAGCCAACCTCCTCGTGGTGTTTCTTGGGTTATGCTAATAGGCTGAATATCTTACTAAATATTGAATAAAATATATAATGACCTGGGAATCAACTCGTACGTATCTCTAAATGACCCGGGAATCAACTCGTACGTACCTCTTAAGGACCCGGGAATCAACTAATACATGAAAAAGGTCTTGGGAATCAACTCACCTATACCGGTATAGATAAAGTGTAACTACTATCTCTTGAAGAAGTATCTTCACTAAAATGTCTTTTCAATCCGTTATTCCTGTCCGCATATTATTGTATGTATTATTGTTTGAGTTAAATATTTAAAAGATTACTTTAAACAAAATCATTTTAGAATAAAAAATATACTGAGTAATATAAGTTGACTGTTATTGTTTTTTCGTATGCAATTGTTTATCATGGAACTCAAATTAACAATGAATTATTTTTAAATGATAGGGTACACTTGAAAGCAGAGTGGTTACTTATATTTTTTCCTCTTTTTTAAATATCTTTCGATTATTTAAATGTTCGACAACAAGTTTATTATTATATAAAAAACTATAATATTATGAAAATATTAGCTAAATTATGTCAACCAGTCTTTTAGACTAATGAAGTCAAGGAAGATTGTAATATTTATTCTAAGGGACAAGAAAAAATATTCTTTTAAAAATTCAATTTATTCTTATAAAAACAATTTAATTTTTGTTGTATAAAAAATAGTAGTTTAATTAACATAAATTATATGATGAATCGAGGAATTCTAAATTAAAATAAAACGTTGTGAATAATTTGAATTAGCATGTATAATACATATATGTATCTATTGGCTATTACCTAAAATTATATAGATATCTTACTTTAATATCAAGTTATAAAATATAATTATATACATTTAAAAACATTTTAGGATCTTTAAAACATTAATTCTATTGTAGGTACATTGGATTCTGAAAGTTATTCGAGTAAAAATATTTAAACAAAACAACAATATAATAAAATTATAACAAATAAAATATCTTATTAATATACTTATATCTAATAAATTGAATTATCTACACATTCTATATTATTTACATTATATTTATAAGAGTTTATGATTTGGTATTCATTTGTATTATATTTGACATAATACAAGCAATTATAGTAAAAATATGGTATAATGTATTACAATGACTATTTTACAAAAATGCAATAAAATTATGTCTAATAATGTCTTTATTATAACAAATAGAAAAGTTTAGAACATATAATAACAAATAAAATATATGATGTGCATAATATTTACCATATTATTACCATCGTATACGTTTACGTATCAATAACGTCAAACAGAATCTATAGTTTTAATCGATTCGTTTTTGACGTTGTTATTATTTATATTATTTTGTGCTACAATATCATCTTCGTTATTTTTAAATATGTTGTCTCTTTTATCAGCTTTGTATGTCAACCTGAAAGTAGTACAAAGTAATATTATTACACCTTGAATAATGATATCAAGTTTTGAACATTCAACAATAAATAATTAATAAGCAGTAAAAATATGAAACACAATAATTGTAGGCTTAAGTAGTAAAGTTTAAAATTATATTTCGTATGTTTGTTGTATGATACTACTTATAATAAATTGAGAAGGGTTGTAGAACCGTAACAATTCTAAAAACTCAGTTTATCAATTTTAAAACACAAGCATTTTATGTTGAATTTAATGCATTCGAGAGTAAAAATAACGCACTTACAAAAGTCAAAGACTATAAAAAATATATACTTTAAATTAAAAATGTATTAATCGAGTATATATAATACACCTAGGTATACTAAAAACGATACTTAAAAATGAATACAAAACTTCTAATTATATTATATACATTTTAGTTTTTAGTAAACGTGGTTTTAATTTTTCGTTGTTACTTATATTATCATATGTTTACATAAAAATCTCATAATTTTAACTATACCTATTTGAAAATTATAGTTAATTAGGCATATTATTATTGTAATTATAAAATGAATATAATATAATTGTCATACTAATATTAGGGATTATGTGATATTAAATAGGTAGTTAATATAATTCTAGATTTCAATTAATTACTTAGACAATAATTATACTTAGAAAAATATTGTATTAAATGTATACGCATTTTTTAAAATTTTTTTTTTCAAAACCTACTGTGGATATCAGTTTAGTTTTAATTTATATATATATTGATTATTTATAACTCACAACATAAATTTAACTTATTTAAAGTAAAAATGTATGTAAGATATTTATTATAGTTTATTAAATTTGGAGGCTACTCAATAAATAATTTTAAAATCGATTATCGTGTGTTCGAATAAAATACGTCGTACCGTTATACTGACTATAATGTACGATTATATTATGGCATATATCATAATATTATACAATATGTGAGTATAAGAAGTTAAATGTTCCTACAAAATCAAATTAGAAACCGCGGAAAATATCAAACGTTTTGTTTGTATTTTATAGCCTTATAAACTCACACGTTTAGATAAAATCAATATTGACCAGCAGCCAACCATAATAACGATCAAAATCAAATTAAAAGGCGGACAACCCTGCAATACTTATACCTATATTTTGTACTAAAACCACTTAATTTCGTTGAGCGAATTCCCACTACCGTTTATATATTATTATTAATATTGCACAGACTTTGAGAAAATTTAAAATAATTTTATTACAATATTATCGTCCGACCAAATTCAAAATTTATAGATTTTAGTTTCTACCCTCGTAATAATATTTTACCAACATGACTTATCATGTAGTTTGACAGAAAAAAAAATATACGCATATTTAAATTATAAATGAAAATTGTAGTTCCAATAATAAAAGCAATTCAAATATTTTTGAGAAATGCCAATAGTTATTTGTGGTTATTTATAAATATTAACGAGAAGTCGGTGCAAATATGTTTACGGCGTAGGTATGCTCTAGATTTTGCAGAATTCGAATATAAATATACGGTTAAGGAATTTTCTATTCGTTATCGCATTATATAGTATGCGTGTATAATATACTCACTACTCAGTTCATTTTTTTTGCGTGAAAATTGCAAGTTTAAAAAAATGAATTATGTACTATACGTTACGATCAGGGATATGAATTTAACTTTTACATTGTACATATTTTAAACGAAAATGTACATAATATATCTTAACAATAAATGTATATGAAAAATGCGATTTTATAACAATACTGAATACTACAGAGAATAACATTATAAAGTTGCGTAGAATATTATCACATTGTATTTACCCGAATAGTATGACAACTGGAACAGTAAAAACCGCAGTCAACAAGAAAAATGCTCCCGGTAGTGTTTCAAATGTGAGCTTATATAATTGATTATATAATGGATAAATAATAATTGGAGCGAGCGTTTCCAGCATACCACGAACTGAATTGAGTTGTGCTAAAAAAAAAAAATGTTATAAAAATTATGTACGCCTTATAAATGTTTTTGTTACAATTATAGATTTTAATAATAATTGTATTTAACGAAATGTTATCTTTGACAGTTTGCCGTTATTCCGTAATCTTTGACGTTTTAAATGATTGAAAAACAATGTTATATACTTTCGAGTAGCTTAGATAAAATTGTCTTTAAAAATAATTGCAAATCCAATAAGTTTATTAATAACACTTATAGTAACAACTTTTACCTAATTCACTGTTATCGACAAGTTTTGACGCCATCGAAGTGCTAACTGTGAACGCTGCACCGTGGAAAATATCTATCACTGGCACTGAAATTTTAAATTGTAATCGTGAATTCGTATATACATATATACATACACATTGTGATTTATCATTAGTCATTTGTCAAACGTGGTGTATGACCAACCTGCGTACAGCTGCCAAGGTTGGGTGACGAAACTGTAGCACACTGCCGCGATTAAGTCGAAACTGCTGCCGATAAATCCTATAGCTGCATCGTGCATTTTCAGTTTTACACTCATTAACCATATAGCTACGATAGTACCTATAAATAAAATAATGCACATGATAAATATTTGCTATTAACTGTTTTTAACGATGTGTAAATAGTAAATTATTAATTTAAATTTTCAATTTGACATAATATTTACGCGTTAGGTATATGTTTGAATTATATGTCATTAATAATCATTAATAAACTGTTACAGTTTCGCGATAATGCTTTAGTCCAAGACAAAACGTCTTGTACCAATGTAAATATAAAATATATTATATGACATGCGTGTACATTCGTTTTACTTTTTATAGTTTGTCGGTTTACTTTCATTTGTAAATAAGGTTGGTTTGGATTTATACGTTGATAAATATATGTTTATATACCTCTTATAATGTATTATGGTAATCTATACTAATTTTTGTCCTTTAATATCAACTACTCCATGTCACTATATGTAGTGGTTTCTAGTATATATTTAGAGAGAAAATTCAAAAGAAATGGAAGAGTAATTCATATAAATTATTATTAACCCAAATTTTTACGCAAATAAACCGATTATGTAAATTATGTAACATATAAAATTGTCTTCACGCTCTAAATCTAAAATATAGACGACTCTACTTACATATCTACAATTGGCTCGACCTTGTGATATCTCATATTATAATAATTGATGATTGCTATAACGATATTAAGTTGTAATTTGTAATACAAAAAAATAATTAATTCATATAGGTAGTTAATTATATAGTATGTAGAATCACTGTATGTATAATGAAATAATGATTTTAAATGCGGTTATTTATTATAATATATCTACAATATAATTTTGATACTGATATAGAATTTTTTTTTTTCGATTTGCTAAAAGTTTACAAATTTTCTATGTATATTATATTCTTGCTATTTTAAATTGGAAACTAAACACAGATTATAATTTAAAACTATTTTCTTTTTTTATGAAATTCGACAAATTCATAACACAAATAAATTAATGCAATATAATCATGAAACCATTATATACATATAATATCATATTTTATGATTGTAACCTATTTTAAATTCTGCTAATAGTCGTTAATTAAATTTAATAACTTATGATTATTTTTGTTTTTAATCATCCACTAACATAGCTCAGTGAAGTCTTGTATTTTTCAATTTATTATTTACTTTTATTAAAATTGAAATGAATTAATAAATTCTTGAACTAAACCAATATATAATTTAGTAAAAATAATAACATTCAAAGATAACCCAAACATACACAGTGCAGATACAATAACTATTAACTATACCTACTAAATGATTCATAACCGAAATTGAACGTTTTATTGGTGATTATCATTTTATTAAAATAAATACGCGTAATGCTATTATTACAACATATAATATATTTATAGATACTCATATAATGAGCAAGTCAATAATAGTTTCTAGCTAAGTATTTTTTAAATGGAAATACATATTACACATTTATTTATTTAGTTTAGTGGGTAGATTGTAGATACGTGTGTTATAGATAACGTAGAAAATCGAAAATATCGTATACCACCATTAAATACTTCATTTCCACATGAACAAATATTGTTTTTGAACCCAAAACAATATTGATGTAGAAATCAGTATAAACTATATAGTGTAAAAATCAATTAATGTATACTTCGATTTTCAACTGTTTACATTAGTTTTTAATAACTTTCGAAGTTAATTAATACTAAAATTAATAATTGTTATTGAATTTGCAAGAACAAAAATAATCTTATGAGTTTTCCCCAATATAATATATACCAACATGCACCATCAACTTAGCTAAACTAATTTTATTTTGCTTAAAAGTATTACCTATAAGTATCCCAGTCATTTTGTATGTAGCGTAAAGGCTGTAATCGATTTCGTTCCATCCAAATTTATATCTGACAAAAAGATAAAGTATGGAGTATTCACCTGAAAAAAAAGTTATTTGAAATATCACTCATTTATTTATAGTGGTAATGTATTTAATACATTAAATATAATTAAACACTTAAGTTTACTTTTCAAGTTTACTTTGCATATTAGCATAACAGTATTTATTAACACAATAGACTCCATTAAATATCAAATAATGAAATACAAATTGTATTGTAATTTATAAACGTTTGTCTGATAATAAAATTGAGATTTTAAATTAAAATAATTTATGTTTTTAGAATATTTTGGAATTTAGAGAAATTAGAAAAATACGATACATCATATAAAATATAAACGTGTATAATTTAAGAAATGTTTGTAAAAAATTGTAGATAGAAAATACAACATTTAATAGGTATATTATTAAATAAGATTTAAGTTAAACATACATGTTAATTTGCATGAGTTACATATTATTATTTTTAAGTAAAATTGCAGGTAAAATTTAAAAATAAAAGTGTAACTATAATATAAATGTATTATCTACCTAGAATACCTAGATTTTAATAAATTATAAATAAAAAAACATACATGTTTAATATATTATTAACAGTATTTAAAAAATGTCAATAATTATCCTATTAAATAAACTCGACTGAAAGAAAACTTTTTCAGTATTAAGTATTTTAATATAATTTCACAGTTTGACATTTGAATTTTAAATGAAAAAAAAATTACATGTTTTCAATCATTTAATTATATAATTTTTAAATATTTTTAATATTAATGATGATGATGATGATGATGATGATAATGATGATAATGATGATGATATTTAAAAAAATAAATGTATTAAAATAAACAAATAAAATATACGAAATATATATATGTATGTATATATAATATATATATACCTATAATACAATAGATATTATATTTCAGCGTAGAAGAGTGTTATGGAACTTATTTAAAAAAATTTGCTTTTTCATTATAGTTTGTTTAGTAAAATATTGAATTATAAAAAAATGTATACCTACATTATACATTGAACCAAATAATAAAAATACTAAATGTTCATATACATAGACAAAAGGTATATATGTATAGGTATTGATTATACGTAGGTGTACTGTATTTTTGAATGAAGTAGGTATTAGTTTATAATAAATAAGCTACAACATCAATGTATAAATAAAATTTATATAAATTAAATAAATGGAATTAATCTTAGTTTTCAAATTATTGATGGTAGATGAACTACATATTTTCAATATTTAGCTAACATATTATATGTAAAAGTTCATAACCTCTCAAAAGTTTTTGATAAATGTATTTTACATTAAAACCATTTCCTTATTGAAATCTCACATTTACTTGAACTTTACGTTCGCCTACACTGTCAATCTTAATATTTTATACAAATGTCTAATAAATATTTTGTTTCAAGTTTATTTACTCAAACTTCCATTTTAAAAATCTAACTTTTCTGAAGTTATCTTATCATTATTTTAGAAAAATGTTCAAAATATTATAATTCAATATTTAAACAGTATGATTTATATGGTACATTATATATTTTTATGCTTTATATAAGTGCGTATATAGAATTAATAAAAATATATTTTTTTAACCTAGGTATAATTAAGTGTCTTTAAATGTAAAATACAGTATAAAACAATTATATTAATTGATAAACGATGAATATATATATATAATAAATGTTAGATTAAAAGAAAAATAATAATCAAAAAAATACTCTGAATTTTAAGTAACTGACTAGTGTAATTTAACTACTAATAGTGACTAATTGTATTCTAATCAATTGTTTTATAATTTAAATTAAAAATTTAAATATTATGAATATTGTTGATTTTATCATGTATATATATATTTAAAAAAATAGAATTTTAATAAAAATAGATGTCATTAATAGAGCACTAAAAAGTATCGAAATATGCGGCCATAAAAATATGCATTAAAAATCATGAAAATATATACAACAAATATGTATGAAATTTTTTTTATTTATATAAATTCACAAATTAAACAACTTATAATAATTCCTTAATGATGAAAAATGTTCACTTTAATATGCAATACATTTCAAATTTTGTAAAAATATACAATAACCATTAAATATGCAGAAAAATGCAAAAAATGTGATTATTAGATTCAAATTATTATGATTTGTGAAAATAACTGACAAAAATCCAAAAAAGTGAAAAGGAAAAAAATATGGCACGACTGCAGAGAAATCCGCGTTCTAGTCGTTACATACTTCATTAATTACAGTTATCAATAATTTATACAATATCCTGTATAATAAATTAGCATAACATTTAAGTTAAGTTAGTTTCCGTTTATTATAATTTAGAAGTAAAAAAGATGAGTAACTTTATACACATCGAAATAAAAATATTTTTATTTAAATAATATTATACTAATGGATAGATTATATAGTCCATTAATATATAAATTTAAAAAACAAAAAAACATAAGAATAAAGTAAAGTACAAGAATTACACGTATAGTTATGCTGTATTTGTGAACATAATTTACATTTTAATTTTTATTGTAGACTGTAGAATGTAGAACCTCACCTAACCTAACCTATAGGATACTGTAGTAGGTTAGTTAATATAATAGTTTTGTTTTTTTTTCTTACACAAGCTAACTGAATCATCATATTGTGGCGTGTCAATCAATATTCAATTAATATAATATCGATTATACAAATTGTAAGTTTGTTTTATAATCGAACAATTGATAAATTAACGTTACGATTTTTCTGATTTTTTTTATCGTAAACTGTATCTTTGTTAATATTTATTATGATTGCAAACTACTCTTTCCATACAGAAAATGTTAGTCATAACAATTGTAAAAGAATAGAATACCTACTTTAAAAAAAAAATGAATAAATCATCACTTTCAAGTAAAATATTAGCTTATAATTCTATGAGCAAAATACATTGACCTTTATTTATCTGCTAATAAGGGCCAGGCACTAGTGAGTAATGCTAAATACACTTAAACATTCTTGAATAGACAAGTGATATTTAAGTTATGCAAGTAAACAATTATTTTTCGCTTCGCAGCGATGTTTCATAATTTATTATATTAGTTAAATAACTGAAATATAAACTAAATTTAAAAAATAAGGTTTTAAGAAGAGAGTCGAGATATAATTCCCTATTAAGTTTCTAATACTTTTGATTTTTCAAAATCTATGTGGCGTGTAGGTACATAATATTAATATTCTATGTTGTGGTACTTACAGATTAAGTTTGAACATATTTTCAAGAGAGAGAAATTCTCTTGAAACGTTAAATGACTGCGTTATACCCATATTGGTAATAATTATCAAATACCGTACTTCAGTTCTCAAGAAGAATATATACTACGTGAAAATAGACTGTAAATAGGGTTTTCAGCAAAATATTACGAATACCAGTGATTTAGTAATATTCACCCCTATATATATTTATATGTGGTATGTATGATTTATATATTTCAGAGCAACTGTTAAAACCTAGGCCAACAATAACTTTTCATTGTGACTGCACAATGTCTCGTGCAATACGATTTATGTAGCCGTTGTATAATTCGAATTCATACTATACGAGTATTATGTCTGGTACAATTCTATGCAATGGGTAAATGGGTTTATCTATCACATTTATCCATTGTAGTAATTGGTTAATTTCAAGTATTATCATTACCAAACTAGCGGTAGTTTAATATCGCGTTTAAACTTTCTGTGGTACCTTTAGGCTATACGAAGTGGGTGATAGGTGTCTACTGTATTATTTACAAATATTATATTATTAAGTAGTTAAAGAGAAGTTTTTAATTTGGCGTACCGAGGACGTTTCACAACGATAAACTATGAATTGTCCAATTCATTTATTTTAATTGCCCGTGTAATTACGATTAAAACTGCCGTCCGTCATGTTGGATAGTATATTTTTCAGAAGCCAAACCTAAATTCGTTATAATATTGTATAAATAATTCGTATACATGATGATTTTCTAGAAATAATTTGAACATATATAATTACAATAAATTAGTTATAATATTAACAATAAACCTTGCTGTAGAAGCGAATAAAAAAAAAAAATTGTAATTATCAACAAGACTTTTTAATGTTTCTCGGGTATATCAATTTATTACTGCAGATAATAATATACTTATTATTATAACTGAAAGTTGCAAAATATATATAAATATTATTTTATTGTAATACTCATAGGTACATTTCAAACACTTTTCATATTATGTCTAATACAATAATATCCATGAGTATAGAGTTATAAGTAGGTACCACACTTACAAAAGACAATAAGTGAAAAGGTATTTAAAGCATCGAATTCAATTAGTGTAAGAAGATCAAATTTTAAAACAGATGATATTATTATCAGTTCATAATTCTACCTTTTAGTAAAAATAAGCAAAATTAAATCTTAAAATGTAATTAAAAATGTAGTCCTAAAAATTATTATTAATAATCATAAATAATTTATAAATATTTTATAATATAAATATAAAAATATAAAATTATTTATACTTCTTAAATTTATATTCGTTTGTAATACTATTTTGTTAAACAACGTCTGGTGTTAATTAAGAATCATGAAAATCACTTTGATGTTTTGTTCAAGGAAAACGTTAATTAATTTCGTTACAGATGTATAATTCCTTCGATGTAAATTTAAACCAAGCCGTGGTTCTACACATTATAGTTTATATAATATATATATATAAATTAAATCTCTATACACGATCGTATTAGTTAGGAGAATATAATCATAAACGATAATATCGTATGTGTTATCAAACTGCTGTAACCCATAGAATATTAGCTAACAGACAAGCAGTAGAAGTAAATACTTCACGTACAGACATAATTTTGTAGAACCATTTGTTTGTTGTTATTATTTATTTAAATCCTTTACTTCCCAATCAACAAATTAACAGTGATATGTAAAAGAATAGTTTTCTTAATGTGTGCTTACTGTTTTCTAATTAAATAACATATTTACGGTCACCAATTAGAGGAGTCGAGACAATGTACTTGCTCCTCTTCCTAAAATATCATATCCATGCGCGTCCATAAGCGTGTTATAATACTACTTGTACCTACGTATAATGCTGCACAGCTCTCTAATTGACCGACATTTATTTAAAAGTTCGACTAGATATATTTTTTGTAATATTGTTGACCTATTTTAAGGAATCTAATATATAATATATTAATGCGGGTAGGCTACAGTAATACTGTTTAAATTTTAAATTATTACATATTATTCTGTTAAATTCTTAATCGACCCACGGATAGTTATGCATGCAGCGTTTCCCATTAAGTGCATGCCCGTGTTTTTATGTTCAGATAAAATTTTACTAGCGTATAGTAACACAATGAAAATAAAACAATACTTATTAATTGGTTTTGTTGTTTTCGTGTGACGATTGAGTGTAGGATGATTTCATGGTATCGATACACGGATCGTTAATAATAATTGTAGAACGTGTGAACCCAATTATTACACGTTCGTATTATGAACAGTACTGTACTTGAACTAAAGCGTACACAGTTTTCTCTTAAAATATTATATTATTTTGAAATGAACTGAAATATTTGATCGATTCAAATCACTTGTCGCGAAGTGAGGTAATGATTATGCGGATGCCTATGGATTGCGAAAATATTAACCGAAATGAGCACAATAATATTATTATTTTACTATTGTTTGTATGCGGCGGCATGGTGAACAGTGACTTTATGTACCTAATCGACATAATGAATGTGCATCGACTATAAAATAGAATGCGTTACATAAACAATATTTACTAAGAACAACAGCGTTAAGATTTTATACACGACACTGTTGAAGCATTGCAGGGTTATTTTTTAACGTGTTCAAAAGAAATGAAATATTTGTTACTCCTATACATATTATAATAAAGTTTAATATTATTATCTTATACTTCTATTATATTTCTTACACACACACACATATATATATATATATATATCAACGATTGTTGTTATTTAGACATCGGGCACTCGCGCGTGAAATACTTACTAAGATAGTGTTTATAATATTATATTATACCTAGTTGAACACGTCTTGCGTTAGCTCTTAGAATAATAATATTATAATAACTGTTTTGAAGGATTAATAAAAAAAAACCAAAAATGTTTTTACCGTTAATTTAATTAGAATTCAGATATTTGTTGAGAGATTTGTAGAAATGCATATTATCTTCGTTTTATACAATAAGAAAACGTACATTTTTTAAATACAATCGCGGCAACATTATAAGCAAAATCGTCGGAATTTGAATTTGAATTTCAGTATTTTTTTTTTTGTACTATTTAAAGTATTTTTAAATAAAAGAGTTAGTTCACATCTTCTGGGAGAAATTTTTTCAAAAGCGTATTCTGTGTTTCGTTCAAAATGTAAGCTATTTCAAGAGTTGAACATCGTACAGCCATATAGGTGCCTCACAGTGCACAAAGCTCTATATTCATATATTTATTCACCTATACACAATAAGTGTACGCCATATATACATACGTATATTACATAAACATATATGCATTTGGTAATAATTACAGAATGATAAATATAATGTTATACTGATTCTCGGGCATTGAGTAATATTTAAACGCATATTGATATTTATCATTTCAACTTAATAATTGCCAAATAAAAATAAATTTCTTACTAGATTTAAATTACAACTTTTTTCTAAAATTTTTTGTAACAATTTAAATACCTACACTTCAATAAATATAATACTAGTTAGATAAAAAAAAAAAAAAAAAAAAAAATGTATAAAATCAATAAATTATTTAATAATATATATTATTTTATCCAACCAAATCTAACTTTAATTTCACTAATTTATTAAGTCTCTTGGTCATGCTAAAATACTTTATGGTAACAAATAACTATTAATCAATATTAATATGAAAATGTAATTTACTAAATAATAGTCCAATTTTATGCATTTCTTAACTCACGCGCATGTTAGCAAAAAATAGTATATTATTAGTTTTTTCCATTGATTCAATAAATTTACTTATATCAATCTATTATCACTTTATCAGCTTCTCGACCTCTTATTCTTTCATATATAAAGTATGGTTTGATAGTAGCAATAATTTATAACAGTTCAATAACTTTTAACTAATAACATGTGTTTAATTAAGTAACTGGTAGAGCAATAAGATACAGTAAGCGAAAAATTTAGGTTTAATTAGATACCGTATGACTAAATATTAAAGTTATACTGATTGATTTTTATATTATTTTGTAATATATAGTATTTTTTTTAAACCCATTTCTCGCTTATTTCTATATTTTTAGTCTGAACATACGGGATGGAAAAAAACGAATTGTCTCCTATATGTTTTCATACTGAGTGTACCTGGTAATCAATAATGTTACTATTTTTTTTTTTTTTTACTCAAAAAACGTTTTTAGATTATAAATCGTATTAAATTTTAGTGATAAATAAAAAATAAAACCACAAAATCAAGAGTAAAATTAGGTATATACAAATTGATATATTAGCACTATTTTGGTGGTGCTCGGTAATTCTAATCTCGTAAAAAATTCGTATTACGAAAATTTACTAAAATTTTAAGATAAAATGTTACCACCAACAATTACAATAAATAGATCTTATTCAGTACATTTTACACATAAGCGTAAAATTTCAATTTTTTTTTTTTCATTTAAGAAAAAACCTATTTATGGATCCGATGCTTTTTTGTGTGAGGTTGAATGGCACTTTATATCTCTATCGGGCTGTACCCACTATAATAATTTAATTTAAGCTTAAAGTTATTCATAATAAAATTAATAAAAATAAATCATAATTATTATTATTTGAATGCACATTAGTATATCTGTGGTTAAATATTTGTTTGTTAATTAGCTTGTGATCGTAACAGAAAATACAGTTACGAGTACACAAACGTAATGTGATATTATTGATAAATTATTTTTTTATCAGGTATAATAATAATTTCTGATACTATATTTTTTCACTCAGACCAACTCGATTCTTCGATATCTACCTATATACAAAAAATAACTAAGTCGTTTTAATCTACAATATTTTATTTTATAAACCCACACCTATTATAACCGAGATATAACTGTACGAGATTATAAGTTATTACTGTAACAATTACTAATCTTTAAAAAAGTAAATAGGTATACTCCCTTCCCCGGTTTAATATGTACTATAATATCGTAAAGTATTATCGTAAATACGGTATAAGTATTGCCATTGGTATAATTAATAACAAACTACTACCAGTGCGTTTTATTATTTAATACATGCCTTCTCGATGAAAAAAAAAAAATATATATATATATATATTTAAGCTTAACAGAAAATTACCATCGAGACGAAAGAACAGTCGTTTTGAACGCGACGTAAAATTGTCTTACGTCTACGCTAAACCTCGAATCAAATTACAACACCCCGCGTATCCGTATTGTTTTCGATCGAATCTTAAAAAATGTAGGTATTTGATCGTTATTATACTTCTTTACGAGGTTCTAACGCGAGTCTCACTCGACAGATCACTCCTTCCCCCGCACGCTTACTCGTCAACCCTACAGCACGTCCGTCGCAGAGCTTGCCCCCCGATCTGTTGTGTGCAATATCGTCATCGTCATATCGTATCCATGTAACTATATATACGGCGTGCTACGCACGTTTTCGCTCACCTTGCATTGGCCCGATGGTGAGCGGCGACACGACGGTCATGTAGACGAGCAGCGACCGGCTGGGCCGTTTCTTGACCAGCACGCGCACCGAGTCGGCGATCACCTTGGGGTTGACCGTCTGCCAGATGGACGCGCCCCTCTCGTACGGCACGGACGTGTCCTTGACCAGGGCCGCGCCCAGCGCCAGCGCGGCCACGTTCATCGCTATGCACGCGCCGAACGTGCCGTAAAATCCGATGTTGACGTTGAGGAAGCCGGCCGTGCACGCGCCCACCGGCGTGGCGATGAAGTACAGCGACATGAGCATGCCGATGCGCTTGGTCCGGTCCTGGACGCGCGTGATGTCGGCCACGTAGGACGCGACGCCGACCACGCAGCATATCCGGGACCCGGTGAGCGCGGGCACCAGGCACTCGGACACGGCGGCCACGGCGGGCGACCAGTGCCAGTTGTACACGTTCAGCACGTTGAACGCGTCCGTCAGCAGCTGGCCGGCGATCGGTATGAACATGAGCGGCCGGCGGCGGCGGCCGTGCGTGTCACTCCACGGGCCGGCGAACAGTATGAACACCAGTGGCACCGAGTACTGGATGGTCAGCTTCCACGTCTGTATCTTGGCCACCAGCTCCTGCGCGTAGCTCTCGTTCAGACACTTGTCCCTCAGGTCGGCCGGCTGCACCGTGGCCGTCACGTCGCACCCCTTCCGCAGGATCAGGTTCGTGCCCACCTGTAACCGCGAGCGCTTATGTTATATCCGTCAGGTCGAGATATACCTAAGCTATAAAATACCTGCAAGTTCGTGAGTTTGTGCGCGCTAAAAACAAAAATGTCCGTACAAGTGTCCCACTATATATTATGTGTTTTCGAAAAGCGCTCGAAAATGCAGCGAATACGCCTTTGAATAGGCGGGAGGGGAGAGGAGGAGCTGCGCGCAACGACGGTTCGTAAATGTCGACGATCTGATTGTGTTTGTACGTATTTTTTTTTTTTTTACTTTTCAATTTACTGACAAGACCCAATCTCGTCCCAATACTTTTGATTTCAAACTCGCGATATATTTTTTTCGTTTGATCTCTGTGATCGAAACGATTGGACTTTGGCGGGTTTACCATAATGTGCAACGTCGTTCTTATTTGTAATCGTTTATCAATCTACATTACGATTGTAGTATCTCCAGATGCTGAAGACCAGTGATTGGTCCAGAGGTGTATCTTTTATTGTCTGGACCTCGCAACGTTTTCGAATTATTTATACGATTTTAGCGCTTATCCGTGTTTCATTTTATTGCTTTTTTTAACATTAAAATATGTTGTAAATATAAAAAGTAAATGTTAATTGTAAATTTAAAATTTTATCAAACTTTTTTTTTTGCTTTTTATTTTTCTGGCCTGCTAGATTTTAAAACTTTAAAAATTGACCTCTACCAATTTTAGGTTACTCATCTCTGCTGTAGACAGTATTTTCAAAGTTTTCAAACAAATTTTGTTTTTGGTAGACATTTTAAAACAGAACCTACTGTTTTATTAAAATAATTAAAATGTGTTAACAACAATTTAAAGCATTTTAATTGGTCTTTGAATGAAAAAAATAGTCAAGTAATACATAGGTAATATTATGGCATGATAATATGTCATGTATACAAGAAATCTAAAAATATGTGATTAAATGCAAAAAAAAAAATACCATAATATATTGAAACCTGTCACTTTGAAGAAAATGTCACTATAGCATTTAACACGGCTTGAGAGAATTGGTTGTAAGTTATGGATTTTCGAGTTCTAGCTATGGTGAAAACTATTAATATTATTAATATCACATAAGAATATCAATATAAACATAGAATAACATCGTATGATAAACCTCTGTTGAAAAAATCCCAGTTGCACTACTCAACGATATAGATATTACGTTAACAGTTTTAATTTTTAGGTTTTAGCCTAAAATATTACAAGTTTTAATGCGCACAATTCAACTCGTATAGACCTTTTATACCTTTTTAAAAATCTACCTATAAAGCTAATGACAAAAACTAACAAGATCGGGGAACGCAGACATTGGTATTATAATAAACGAAGTACGGTTCAATAATTTTTACGAATTCAAAAAATTAATAAAAATTGAATATTTGCGTCATAGTAAGTTTGTGATTATATTACATATTTTTATTTTTTGTGGTCATGAACTGGACGTTGTTCAGGAGTATTTGAATTGGTTTTTTTCGTCTAACAAACAAGTAATATAAAATAACAGTCAGCGTTTAGTAGTTAGAATTTAGTTTTGTTGATTTAAATATTAATGCTTTAAATACCAAGTAGGCATATAACTGCTGCAAATTATCATTTAAGCCTCAATTTTTATTTTTAACCCATCTAGGTATATACGACGACTCATAAAAATGACTAATTTTATTATTAAAATGGGAAACAAATTTGTTTTTACACATACATTTTTGAAGTCAGCACTTATGTTTCATCTCCGATATAAAGTTATATAAGATAAATATAATATGTCTTAAAAAACGAAGGCAGATGGTTACCATGAATATTATTTGCTTATAATTATTAATAACATTTTATAATGGTCAAAAATTAATAAATAAATATAAAAAATATATGAAAGAAATATATATTTTATATTGGTACACATTAATATTGGAGGTTTACTCCTACAACAAAAAAAAAAAATCCTACCTCCGTTGATTTAAGCACTTTAACCTCGATATTGCACGCCACACGTTTGACGGAAGGGGGGGAGGAGAGGCTGTAACCCTTGCTGTCAAATTAGCCAGTAGCCAGGGCGCAACCGACGTTCATCGGCCCAACGCATTTAAGTATAAGTACGTATTATACGATAAACGGACAATTTAAAACAATTTATGAACGCTGCAGCTATATACGGTATATGTATTTTGTAAATCTTCAAAACATACTGGCCATTTTAATTTGATATTCGATCGAATACCATTTTTTGATTACTTACCTCCAAGTGCCTTCCGAGAACAGACTCGTTGAACCGTAAATATTGTTATAAGACTTGCACGATTCCAGAGTATTTTTATACTGCATAAATAATACCCTCATATAATTTGTGTTTGAACAAGCGAGAAAGGGAAATAAATACCAAGTAAAGGTAGCTCTACCTTTCCTTGCCGTGTCGGTGAGTAAAACATTTCCCACTCTCATCACATTATGTGTCGCGTGCGTGGGATTTTTTAATATTTTTTTATTGATTTTTTGCATATATTTATAATTTGTTTTTAAATTAAAACGTCGAGAAAAAAAATCAAATGAATACCGGTATTTCACTTTTAACTTAATATAAAATACGTTTGTGTACTTTTAATTTTATCTTGATGATAGAATAAATATGACGCTGCAGGGATACTATCTTTGCATTTTGGGTAGAAGATGGTAATAAATAATAACATAATTATGTTACTGGCGTTTGTCCGTGTTTATTAATGTGCGCGTGTTAAAATTTGGTCAACTGTCAAATTAATTTAACTACATTACCCAAATCTGAAATTATAGTTGATTTTCATCAAGAATGTATTAAAATATTATAACCAAGAAAAATTAAATCTACGTTAAATAAAAATAAAATTATACATTTTAAAATACTTAGATTTTTCTGACATTTTAGAAGTGTTGTGTTGGAGTACTGACTTTTCTTTTTCAAATAACAACCACTTTTTTACTGCAAATTGTTAAGCCTAGCATTATCAATTTTCAGGACTAATATTTTTTCTTAGCATATGTAATGTTTAATTTCTTAAACACTACTCATTTAATTTTTTTTTAAATAAAATTATGTGTTTAATAATTAATAGTAAAAAAGTGAAATAAAAGTGAATATTATTGCTGAATTACCTTAAAAAAACTCTTTATAATATACACTCTATACATACTTTAATAAACACGTACTAAAATTAATTTTTATTTCTATAAAGAAAATATCATAGTGAAAAATTGTATACATTTCATGCATACCTGCATAATATTATAAACTATAGTAGTACTTACCAAAGCTGAAATAGCCAATGTTACAAAATACAAAAACAGCATTGGTTCCACGGTGACCTTTTCGATCCATTTTGGTTTTGTTATGAACATATTTATTTGAAACAAAAACAAATATCTAACTGTCTACAATAGTTGTAACACTTTCAAGAATATAAAAATACTGAGATCATATTAAGAATTCGTAGAGAATCACCACGACCATACGATAGAACTGTATTATTAATTAATAATGATAGTTTTTTTTTTTTTTTATAGGCTATCGACAAAAATTAATCGATCCAACTGTTGTTTCTCAAATTGTTTTTTCTATGAATATCACCAAAATTTAATTATTTTATCTTATTTCCGTTATTTTAAATTACAAAAGATGCTTTGTGTATTGTAAGTAAATAGTAGATATATTAAAATATTAATTTGTCAAAACGGAAGGTATTTTAAATACACGACAAAAATGCTTATGAACAACGACCTTGTCGGATTGTTTTCTGTTTAAAAGTGATTTTTTTTTTTTACTATTTACGTAACGAGTTTGTACCGAAAAAAATGTCATAAAAAATGTTAGTATTATTGTCGTCTGGTGTAGCGTTTGACGGACTGCGGCAGTGCGACTGCGTTTACCTACACTCACACTGAATGACGCCGTGTGTATGGAGTACCTGTAATAACCCACCTATAGCTGATGCGTTAGTACGTAATAACTTACCGCGATTAAGTAACATACCGGTCCGAGGTCGAGTTCAACTTTCTCCTTCATTCCACACGACCGTATTATGCCCAATAAGTGTTGCTGGAATCAAAGAACTGCCAATTTTTTTTTCATTCTATCAGTACATATTATATACGTTGGTGCATTGACAGTTGAGTACCGAATAGTAGTAATATGTTGTATAGCAGTAACGGTGGACAGTGGTTTTAAGTAGTGGCATTTATAGTTCTGTCCATAATATTATTATATTATGTACAAGTTTCCATTATGTATGAATAGAATTGTTCCCTCCTCTCATTCGTCGTTATATTATGCGAATTTCGGGTAATAGGAAGTAACGACGACAACGTGAATGAACGCGCGAAATCCACTCTTTCTAGGTCACAGTGTTATATATAGGTAGATAATCTTGCAGCGAGCTTGTATATAGGAAACGCATAATATATAATATGCTATTATTATTATTATTATTATTATGTGTGTACACAACATTCACTGGATATTACTGGATGATGTCACTACTGTTGCAAATATCGTCGTTTTTTAGAGTTGCCCGTGTAATGTTTTGTGGGTACCTATGTATACACGCTTCTAATATAATGATTGCCGTAATACGTATTGTGGATAAGATACAATTATTATTTTGATGCTCGTTAAATTTTTTCTTCCGGGTATGGACCAGATGCGCTTAAAACAAAATTTGTATTTTATGATCAGTAGTTACCAGTGTGAAAATAGCACTTCTTTTATTTAACGAAAAATTCACCAACTATTTCGTTAACCTTCTAATTTTACCTTCAGGTGTGAAAATGCGTTTTATTCAATCTAATTATTTTGACATTGAATAATCATAAATTACACATGAACTATGTAAATTAAAATGGTTAAAAATTAAAAACTAACCAACTCGGTTGAAAAACTGCGTTACTGCAGGTATTTGGTGCCTGTATTTAAAACTATACATCATCATACAATAATATCACATATCTATGCAATATTATTAATGTGTATCATAATATACATGAAAGTACACAACATTCACTAAGTTACTATAACATGATGTCACTATTCACCATACTCTTTTTCAGGCGTCATCATTTTTAAGAGTCGCCCACGTAATGTTTTGAAGGAAGAGTTATAATACGCTTCTGATATAACGGTACCAATACGTTATTAAATTTAATGCACTTATTATTCCTCCGGCCAAACAATATAATGTTATATAGTATACGCCACAGAGATAAATAGGTGTGCATATGTTTAAAGCGTATGGTTCCTTGACGCGGTTTCGATAAAACGCGAATATATATAAATATATTATAAATGGATATACTTTAAGTACATTCTGTATACACACAATATATACATAATGCGTTTATACATATTTATACCCTGCATAGATTGATAGATTTTATTGCGCTTTTTATACGCATCACGGATGAGTGAGTTGTACATTTTTTATGCTCGTATTACACACACGTGACGTAAGTACGAGTAAACCTATCGTGTAGGTATTGCCAGATATTTGGTATAATATATCTGTACCTATTTATGTCGTATAACCTCATTTGTTATGAGAGTATATTACTCGAGTGTTTAGATTTTTATTCCAAATTAATAGTAAAATAATTTATATTTGTTATCAGTTTTCACCTTTTTGCAGTAATATACAGTATTGCAATGTAATACGCTCAAGTGCTTAGGTGCGCATAAACACGAGAATTCGCCTAATGCATACCTATATTGTACATGGCACATGTACGAAATTTTTTTCCATAACCATTATATTAGAATATTAATAATATATCAAATCATGATAATACGATATATAAATTAAAGTATGAAACTTTTCGTTTATTCATAATTAAGACTTATACATTTTTCTTGTGCAATAACATAAATTCAAATAAAATATAGAAATATTCTCTAATATTTTAATGTAGATAAACATTATTTTTGTTAGTAATAAGTGTTAAATTTAAGTTTATAATAAAATAACATAATCAATATACAATAATCAAAGTGTTAAAGTAATTCACATATTTTGTCATTTATTTTTTTATAGAAAAAAAATAAAATCTAAAATATGATTAATCTGAAAATTAATATTTTAAGAAGAATTCAAATAGTTATTTATTATTATTAAAGATATTGAATTTTAAGAATTTTTGCAGTGAACATAAAATTAAATGACAAATTGTGAATTATTATAATAATACTTTATTTCATTAATGTAAATTTTTTTTTTATTATTATATCATAAACTATAATTTAACACGTAAAACCTACAATAATATTTTTAGAATAAAATATTGGAAAATTTATGTTGATGCACAAGAAAAATATCAATGTTTCAATTTTGAATAGACAAATTGTTTGATTTGTCGTATTATCCACGATTAAGTTAGTTTATTATAATATTATTGTGCTTTAATATATTAATAACAGCTTAAAATTATGAAAGTGAGAAAAATTATGCACATGCGCAGCATGCATAAGGTGAATTCCTGTGTTTATAGGTCCCTAAGTGTTATACTAATTGCATATCTTAGAATTTTAATTCTAAGTTAATATCATAAAATTAAGATTGATATTGAGTTTACTTGATTCTAATATTATATTATAGGTATATTTTGAAAAATTACTAATTTTTCTGATAAAAATAACTGTGGTACCTACATGGTAGTAAAATTTTGTCTTTTTCTGGTTAATGTAATAATGACAGATGAATACCAAACGAACGAATACAAGAGGATTTATATATTAATAATTAGACTGGATGGTTACCTACATAGTTGTACCAAGTATGGTACTTTAACGTACTTATTTAAAAATAATATGTTAATTTAATAATTTTTACTTTACCCATGACTTGGTAGGGAATACACAGATAAGTGATAATACAAGACTACTTCGTCGCACGTATACGTATTATGTGGCAGGCTCAACTACCCAAATATTATTAATATACCTATTAAAGTACTCAAAAATTAACAAATTTAAGATTACGCAAGTATATCGAGGTATATGGCTGATTTATCCATATAAATGATATATATATATATATTATATATATTTGCTCATTATAATTAAATGAATAAAAAAATAATAAAAACACTATAGTATGTAATTATGTTTTACTGTAATTTCACATTTTTAATTTCATATTACACATATAGACATATAGTGTATCATGCAATGCAACATTCTAAACGTTCGTTGCATAGTATTCAATAGTCTATAATAGTTAAAAAAAAAAAAAAAAAATGTACTGATCTTAAACACAGTATATTTATATATAACTTCTATATACGTTGACAAGCGTAAAACATTATGTGAGTATGAACATTTTTGTACACCTAATATATGTATTATTATATATAATTTATGTATTGATTTTTTAGAAGCAAAGCAAAACATTTTGTGAAGTCATACAAAAATTAATAATAATCAAGCTACACGTTTTATTAAAAAAAAAAAAAAGAAAGAAAATTCAAAATTTAAAATAATGATGTGGTGACGCAGAACCAAATAGATTGTAATTCGTATTACTATTATGATGTATAGCATATAAATCCGGTTTTATGAGGTTCATGATTTTATATAATTTATCTGCCATTCCTTACATGATAAAAATTACTATAAGTCACTTGTATACTGTTTATTCTGTTTTTAAAAATGAAGTGGTGTGTCTTTCATATCGATGCGCTCGAGGACCCACAAAAGTCCCTCGGGAACTTTGAAGCCTAGTGTTCCGTTAATGATTGACGCTCCATCGTCCTAAAACTACGTGATCAGATTTCTGTAGGAACAGCCATCACACATGATGTTTGCAGTCCCCGATGGTTGTCTATCTAATGTATCTTTTCTGCTTCAAAGTTACCAACGTGGCCGAAAATGATCTGAATTTAACCAAATTTCTACTTTAGACTATCACTACAAGCCGAATAAGTTATTGGGTGCAGAAGTACAATAGTACCAGTCCACAAAAGTATAGTGGCAAACCACCCATGAATGCAATAAGACTCTTCTAGTGGTGGTCCCAAGAAAAATTAGAAATTTGGTGGGAAAATTGGTAAACTGGATGGTTATGCAAAGTTTGCAGTCTTATCGATCATAAAATTTGTCACAGCGAAGTATGACTGACTGACTATCAGAAACAAGGCAAGCTTATACCAACACGATCTTTCGAACCATCGAATCGTTAAACAGACAGATAAACTGCATTATTGTGGAAGGATGAAGGACAATTATGTAGATTGTTATGTCTCGCTAGTTAACAGGTAGTCTTCCTAACTGTCACATATTCCTTTTACCGCGGCCCGCTGTTATTTGTACATCGTTTGTTGACCGTTGGCCGTCAAAGGCTGGTAATGAGTTCTAGTGTCTATTATTTTTGGTTCCATTGTATCGCCATATTATCCACGAAAAAATATTCGACGAATGTCGACGCAGTCTCTATGACGGATAACGCACGCAGTACTACCCACGGTCATGGTCAAGACAGATTGGTCATGACATTTTCAATACCAGTGAATGCCAAACTGCGGCTGAATACAACAAATCTTGTTTGGGACATATTTAAATGTTATTTTCTTTATAACGAGAGAAACAAATTAATAGCGAAAGGCAATATGTCAGAACAAAACACAAACTGGTAATAAGCATAAAATCAGTATATATATATTTTTATATATTGGTATTACGATGATGTTTTTTTTCATCACCTTTTATACTGTAAAAATCTCTAATTTTCAACTTTAGGGGTGGATTTTAATAGCAAATTTGATTTAGTCAGAACTTTAAAAGTTTATAAAGATTCCCAATACTTTTTAGAAATAATTAAAAATAATGGGGAAAAACAGAAGATCAATTTAAGGAAAACCGAAAATTCATTTTTACGACAAAATAATTTTTGTTTATCTAATGTAACTAAAAATAAAATAACTGAAGGTACTTAAAATTTTAACCGAATGGTGTATATTACTATTTTTTATATATCATAAAAATATGACTGAGCTTTTTATAAGCATTTAAAATTTGAATTTTTTTAAGTATTTTTTTTTTATAAACGTTGATAAAAATGTTTTACTTACTAAGTTCAGTAA